ATTAACTCAAGAATTATATGTATAAAACGAGAGAAATAAACAAGTTCTTTAAAAAATCAAGTATTAAATTATTAGAGAGAACAGCCGTCCACTCCCGTGAGCGAGGCGAGCGCTGGCGCGGGCGGGGGACAACACAGAAAGAATGGAGAGGGAAATGTGTGCACCCTCAGGGGTTCAGAAACGCCAACAACCCTGATACAAGGACAAACCACCACGTCCTGTGGGAAGGACAATCAGCACCAGCTTTCCAGAGGGCAACAAGGACCAACCTGAACTCTAGAACCCATGGCCCACTGGCCTAGCTGCTCTGTCCCAAAACAAAGGGATTGGCTAAAGACAATGGACTGAATTAACACATGTACAGCCCCTTCGGCATGAAACCTGTACTCGATGATCAAAAAATTCCCTCACTGGTGAACAAATTCTTTTTTTTTTATGTTTTTATCCTCACCCGGGGACATTTTTTGCATTTATCTTCAGATAGAGCGGGAGAGAGAGAGGGAGGAAGAGAGAGAGAGAGAGAGACATTGAAGTGAGAGAGACACATCGACTGGGCCCACCCACAAAACCCCAACTGGGGCCAAACAAACTGCAACCGAGATACATGCCCTTAGTGGGAATCGAACCTGGGTCTCTCTGGTCCAAGGGCCGACACTCTAACCACTGAGCCAAACTGGCCAGGGCTGATGAACAAATTCCTAATGGCACTGGGAACTCCCAAGAGAGCAGACATTTTGAGGACGACAAGGAGAGAGAGCAGGTACTGACCACAGATCCAGTTAGAGCTCCGGGCAGGCCTTGGAGACCAAGGAAACCTCTCTCCCTCCCACTCTTCCCACTGCTGCTGGAATCCTGAATCCTCCCCTCCATTCCAGCCAGCACCCAGCCTCACACCCCAGGGAACACAGCAGAGGCACAGGCAGGCCCTTTCCACCAGTGCACCTCTGTCCCCTTGCTCTCCACCCCTCCGCAGGCCCGGGAGCCCAGCACTGCCTCAGGGCCCAGTATGCTCCTCCCTGGCCTCTCCATCAGGGCCCACACCACCCTCAGCACAGACACCTGCTGGCCTGTCTCCACCTTACTCTCCATTGCGGCCATGCTCCCTTTTGGCTATCTTTTTCAACCCCCCTTCATAGTTAAATTTTTTAAATTGCCTTATTGCTGCCTCCCACCCCCATCCAGCTCCATTCCCACAACTCCAAGGAAACTGTGGTCACCAGTGACCCCATGTGGCTGAGTCCAGCCATCTTTTCTCCATTCTGATCAGAGCTGTACCTAACTCAGCCAAGCACCCCTGCTGGCTGAAAACCCCTTCCCCTCTGGCTCCCATGATTCCGAGCCCCTTCTTGTCTGCAGCCCCCCACCCCCACCCCCGCCCCGCCCCCGCCCCGCCATGGCCCCATGCTCCCGCTCTCCCAGATTCTCTTCAGCTGTGCCTCTATCAACACCACCCGCTCCTGGGCTGGGCCCTGGTCCTTCCTCCAGCTGCACAGTTTCTTTAGGTAACCTCACTCAATTCCATGATTTCAAACACCTCTGACCTCATCTGACACAGCAGACACACTGTGAACATACATGCACACACTTTGGACACACATACAAAACCTTCAGAGGTTGGGTGCTGGCTCCCTCGCATCAGCACCTAGAGAGTATCTCATACTTAATTCCTCTCAAAATTTTAGTCATATGAGTTCTAAGAAAACCATTAAGTACCTCCAAAAAGGAGGAAAAATTTGGATACAATAAATAGTGGTGAGCCCAGCCGGTGTGGCGCAGTGGTTGAGCATCAACCCTGCACCAAGAAGTCGCAGGTTTGATTCCTGGTCAGGGCACATGCCCAGGTTGTGGGCCCAATCCCCAATGGGGGGTATGCAGGAGGCGGCCAATCGATGTTCTCTCTCATTGATGTTTCTATCTCTCCCTCTCCTTTCCTCTCTTTCTAAAATCAATGAAGAAAAATAAATAAATAAATAAATAGATAGTGGTGAATAAAATAACCAATAAAATGTATACTTACATTTTATTGGCTGTGTGGAGGGGAAAATGAGAATATGGAACTGAGACCACAGAGAGGGTCTGGCCGTGGGGAGTGGAAGGTGAGGTGCTGGGAAGGTAGAACACAGGGACTGATCAACTCAAAACAGTTACTGAAAGTCTCCAGTGGTTGTTTTTAAAAGCTGAAAGAGCCCTTGCCAGTTTGGCTCAGTGGTTAGAGCGTCGGCCTGCGGTCCAGAGAGACCTGGGTTCAGTTCCCACTAAGGGCGCATACCTCAGTTGCAGTTTATCTCCAGCCCTGGTTGGTCATGCGGGTGGCAGCCACTCAATGTGTCCCTTTCAGGTCGATGTTTCTCTCTCTCTCTCTCTCTCCCTCCCACTCTATCTGAACAAAAAATAGAAAAATGTCCTTGGGTGAGGATAAAAAAAAAAAGCTGAAAGACATCCACTAGAAGAACAGGGAAGGAAACAAGAAAGCTTACCAAATTAAAATATAAAACAGAGCCCTGGCCAGTTTGGCTCAGCAGGTAGAGCATTGGCCCATGGACCGAAGGGTCACAGGTTCGATCCCTGGCCTATGTCAGGGTTGTGCCAGAGGCAACCAATTGATGTGTCTCTCTCACATCGATGTTTCTCTCTCCCTCCTTCCCTTCCTTCCACTTTATCTAAAAATCAGTGGAAGATATCCTCAGATGAGGACTAACAAAAAATAAATAAATAAAATAAAATATTGGGCCAAAATTCCAACTTCCCAACAAGCACAATCGTAAATGGATTAAATTAATCTATAAAAAGACAAAGGCTCTCAGACTGAATTAAAATATAGTTATAAAATAAAGGGAGCCCTGGCCGGTGTGGTTCAGTTGGTTGGAGCATTGTCCTGTACATCAGAAGGTGGTGGGTTTGATTCTCGGTCAGGGCCCATGCCCAGGTTGCAGATTCAGTACCCAATTGGGACAAACGTGGGAGGCAACTGATCAGATTTTCTCTCTCTCTCTCTCTCAAAAAAAAAGAGGATATAAAAGGGTTGAAAGAAGGAGATAAAGAAATAAGACTTTAAATGGGACCAAAAAAGGGTTTTCTGTATTGGTAACAGTCAGGAACACATACCTCTAACAACATGGTCTTGAAATAAAAAGCAAAGTTGGGCCCAGCCCCTGTGGCTCAGTGTTTGAGCATTGACCCATGCACCAAGAGGTCGCTGGTTCGATTCCCGTTCAGGGCACATGCCCAGGTTGTGGGCCCGATCCCACGTGGGGGGCATGCAGGAGGCTGCCAATTGATGTTCTCTCTCATTGATGTTTCTATCTCTCCCTCTCCCTTCCTCCCTCTCTAAAATCAAAAAAGAAAAAAATAGAAAAATTTTTAAAAAAGAGAATTAAAATAAATCAATAAAGATTCAGAACATATTTACAATCAGCTCCTCTCTCCCCATCTACCCACTTGAAAAACCGTAAACACCCTCCTTGGTAACATGGGTAAAGAGGGCATCAACACTGAAGTTAGTAATGGCTGAGAAATGAGCAGCAATGAGAGGAGCATAAGGCAAACCCACACAGGGCCAAGGGGACAAAAGAAGGCCTGAGCCTCAATTGCAGGAATCGGAAACTATACACGGACAAGAAGAAGCTAAGGTCCTCTGTCCAGAAGCCAGAGCCACCACAAAATGAAACAGAAGAAAGAAGAAGGGAGGATTAATGAGGCAGAAACAAGGCAGGTTTGATCAATGGAGTGGCTGTTTGGAAAGACCTCTGTAATAGTGACAAACTTTGGGATATCTAACCAAGATGAACAGAAAAAGTGACCAAAAAGTAACATCAAGAAACTGTAAAAACGACAAGAGAGCCCTGGCCGGTTTGGCTTAGCAGTTAGAGCATCAGCCCGAGGACCAAAGAGTCTCGGGTTTGATTCCAGTCAAGGGCATGTACCTCGGTTGTGGTTTGGTCTCAGGCCCTGGTTGGGGTAGTGCAGGGGGCAACCAGTCGATGTGTCTCTCTCTCTCTCACCCTCCCATTCCATCTGAAAATAAATAGGAAAATATCCTCGGATGAGGATTAAAAAAAACAGCAACAGGAGAATATTGGTGGCCCTCACATGGAGCCACTCCTCCCCCAGGTGCATTTGGAAACATGCAGTATGGGTTTTGGTTTTTCTTTTGTTTTTGGTTGTGCAGTGGTGGTTGTTCTAGGGTCCAGGAAGTCCTGAATGGCCTGTCACACAAGAGCCTCCTGAGGTGTTAATTACACCTCCAAAGACAAACTCTCATCCAGATGAAATGAACAATGTGGCAGTAAAATGTTTTCATGTACTTATAATAGGCAAAAGATCCTATCCTCAATATGTAAGGAATATCTAGAAACCAATTTTTATAAGTCCTAAACAGTAAAATAGGGGGAAAAGCAGAAACAGAGCCAAAATATAAAAATACACCCAACCCATCTATACAGGGACAAAGATGTGTAAGCTAAAGTGTAGTAAGTAATCTAAAACATCACACAGCAAATTTTAACAGCAACAGGAGTAAAAGTTGGGAGGTGGGTAAGAAGGAAATTTTCACCACTTCTTAGTCTGTATATTTCTGTAGTGTTTTAAGTTTTACAGAAGACAATGTATTCCACTTGGAGAGATGTTTAAAATCTTACTATTAATGTCCAAGTTGATTAACCTCTAGAATATTAATGAAAACGTGAATGGAAAGAACCTCCCCATCACTCTGTCTACTATCATTTTCCTAATAGTTTTCTACATCTATTTGACTTTACACTTAGATCCTAACCCATTTGGATTTATGTTTGTGTGAGGTATGCCGTGGACACTGACCTCACCCCATGCAAGGGGAATACCAAGTGTTGGGGCCTCATTCACTGAGTAGCTGACCTCACAACTAGAGGCTTCTCGGCTGCTGGGGATAAGCTGTCCTACATGAGTGTTGTCTATAGGGTCCAGCTACTAGCGGAGCAAGACCCCTACGGGCCAGGCAGTCGGAGCCTAAGGTGGGTACTGACCTCGGCTGGGGCCAGGCAGGCTACTTGGGTTCGGCGCGCTCCCTCTCTGAAGCTCGTCCAGCTTCTCCTGCAGCTTGCGCACCTGGCTGTCGGAGCGGCTGACGCGCTGTCGCAGGCTCCTGAGTTCACCGTTCTTCTTCTCCACCTGCTCCCGCAGGCAGCAAGCCCGGCTCCGGTTCTGCCTTGCTGAGAAGCAGTAGGAGTGCAGCGAGTCGATGAGCTTGCAGGCCCCCGATGCTGAGAGGATGACCTCGTTGATGGACATGGGGCTGGCATCGCTGTGCTCACTTTGCACAGCCTCTGTGGCTGGCTTTGGGGTGACATCTGTCGGGGGAGCAGAGGGGCTTTGAGAGGGCTTCTGCGGCGTCGCAGTCAGAGACGAACTTGGGGGGCTCTGGGCTAGGCCCTTGTCAGGCCCCAGGCTAGTCCCGCTGCAGCCGGGCTCCGTGTCTCTCTTCAGCCTCTTCCGGTCCACAGGCTCCCGGGGGACGGGTGGCCTCTCTCGGGTGTGTTTGGAGGAGAAACTGTAAGAATGAAGTGAGCCGATGAATTTGCAGGCCCCAGATCCCGGGGGGGTAAAGTCATCCATGGAAATGCCACTTTTATCCACCAGGCCCTCATCGGGGGCAGTGTGGCCCTCATCGGGGGCAGTGCGGCTCTCATCACCAGCGTCGCATGCAGACCTGTTTGCTTCTGCCCTGCTGCTGGATGCTGTGGTGGCCACAGCGTCGCCTGGAGGTCCCTGCATAGCCTGCAGCGCACGCTCCTGACTGGCGGCTTCACTCTGCAGGGCAGCCCGCTTCAACTTGCGGGCCTCTGGCTTGGCCATCAGGTGCTCACTCGAGGAGGACGGTGAACCTGCAGCTCCTTTCCCGTCAGCTTCACTCGCACGTCCCCTCAGGCCCCCGGAGGCTTTTCTGGTGTCCTTTCTCCTGCTGCGGCCATGGCCTCCAGACCCCCTCTTTTTCTCAGTCAGGTGGAAGATGGAGGGCACGGCCGTGGGCTTGAGCAGGCGGTGCTGATCCTCCAGCCTTTTGGAGAAGCTGTCTTTGGTAAAATGTTCACTACAGAGGAAAGAATATTTAGTAGGGGTCCAGTTGTCCCTCTGAACAGCTTTTAACCACTGGATCAGACGCTTTGAGTCTTTTAGGGGGAACCTGCAGGCCAAATGAAGGAATTAGAAGGAATAATTACACATCTTTACCTAAAATCATCAACTATAAAAAGCAAAACAAGTATTTTTGCAAACACCCAAACCTATATTGGCTTCACCTATTTAAGAATTTGGTAAACATTTAAGAACAAAGAACACATTGCGTTTACAGGTTACCACTGGAATGGAAAAATGGAAGACCCTGAAGAAGCTTAGAGTCACAGGGTAGATAGGAATAAAGGTAGATAACTCCTCCCAGAATGCTAGGAAAAGCACAGGATGGTGTCCAGACTTCAGGAAAAGCTCCAGGAAGCCCGGGAAATAGTTCCTAGAAGATCATGGCTGAGCAACCCTGCTGGTGTGTCTGGGATGCAGTTTGGGTGCTAAAAGTGGGATGGTTGGTAGCCCTATTTAGAAGCCGGACCAGGTGTGGGCCAGAAGAGATGGGAGCCAGAGGCCAGGAGAACATCCCAGAAGCCCAGGACTGTTCCTGGCCCTCACTGTGACACAAGCAGCTGGGCATGGAAGACTAGCTCTCAGGGAACATCAGACTCAAAGGTATAGTTCTGTGTTCCTTCTACACTCCTATCCCTGGAAGGCACTGAACAAGTCACTTAATAATCTTTTCTTCTCTTTAAGGCAAGATCTACACTTAGAAAACTCTGACCAAACTGTGCACAGTGGGGCCGTTTGCTCCCTCTGAGGTCATGTAACCAACCTGAGGCCACTGTGAACCAGGACAGGGTGGAATCTCACTCTTCAGGAAGTTCTCCTCCACGTGACCTTCTAAACTTCCCCAAGACCCTCAATTCCCACGTCCTTGCCCCTACACCACGTTAGACCATTATGAATGCCAAGAGCAGCCTTCTCTGCACCGCTTTGCCTCATTTTCACAATGGTAACAGAACTTTTGGGAACAGAGGCTCTGAAGGAAACTGAGAAAAGCTGGTGGCTGCTACAAAATGATCTAGTATTACTTTGATACATTGTAACAACTTAAGATTTAGTGCACCACGGCGGACTTTCAGTAAGGCTATAAGTAACAAGTGCCACTGTGGCTGTAAAAATTAAATACTAATGCTCTCCATCATACAGCAGGCATGCCCCTTCAGGTCACGGTTGTGGGGCCTCCTGCGCGTACGTGGGCTCCGGAGGCCCCCTGACCAGCGGGGCAGGCGGGAAGAAGGTAAGACCCTTGCCCTGCACGGCCCCCGGCGGGGCGGAGAGCCCCTTACAACCTCGAGGGGGAAGCCGGCCAGGAAGTGCCACCCCCTCCGGGGCAGGAGGCTGTCGGGCCGCTACAGGGATTCACCTCTCCGCCGGGGCACAGCCACCTTTCTGTCCCCGGGACTGGGACCCTTTCAGCAACAGCGCCTGGAGCGCGTGTGAATCCACGAGGTACAAGACGCATTTGCTCCACCGCATTCCTAATGGCAGAGACCAAGGCAGCCTCCCTCGCGATCAAAACGGCAGGCAACTTAGAGCCAAAGCAGAGGACAACTGACCTAAGGAAGAGGTTTCCAGAATGCGGCGCTTCTGGAAACCGGCGGCGCCTACTCGAATCAATGGAGCGCGGCGGCCGCGGGGTGGGGGCGAGGGAGGCGAGGCCCCCGGTGGGCGCCGAGTGGCCGTGGGGTGGCCTCCCTCCGGCTGCGGGGTGGCCTCCCAGTGGCCGTAGGGTGCGCGAGGGACGGGCGCCGCGGCGCGCGGTGGTCCCCGGCAGGCGCTGGTGGCCGCGGGATGGGCGCCCGGCCCAGAGACGGCGGCCGCGGCCAAGGTCACACAGCGCCGGGCGCTGACTCACTCGCAGGACCAGCCCCGAGGCCCGGCGCGGAAAGTGCCCCCTCGGGCCGGGCCGCGCGGCCTCAGTTTCCCCGGCGCCCAGCCGGGCCGGGCGGGGGCGTGGCCGAGCGGGCGGCGGGCCGGGCCCGGTTACCTGTGGAAGGAGACGGCGCGCTTCTCCCCTTTGCCCTGCCGGTTGGAGCAGTTCGCGGCCGCACAGCAGATCACCATCTCGGGCCTCGGGCCGCCGCGCCACCGCCAGGCTCCGGCCCTCGCCTCGTCGCGCCGAGCCCGGAGCGGGACCGCCCCGAGGGGAGGCGCGCGGCGACACGGCTGCGGGACGTGGGAGCCGGCCCCCGCGGCGCCGTACGGCAAGATGGCTGCGCCCGCCTCCCCGCCGTGCGCCGCCGGCCGTCGACCCTCGGCGCGCCCGCGGTCTCAGGCACCCGGCGGGGCCCTGCCCGCGGCTCGCGGCGTCGAGGGGTGGGCAGGGGCGCCCCGGCCGGCGGTCCGTACGACGACATGGCGCGCCGACCCGTCCGTACGGCAAGATGGCCGCGCCTGCGGGAGCGGGCGCACGGCGGGCTGACGCGCTCGCCCGAGGCCTCGCTGCCCGCCGGCGCCTGCTCCCACCGCCCGGCGGGCCGCTGCTGGGCTCCTCGGAGCGCGCGCCGAAGGCCGCCGGGGTGCCGAGCGCACAGGGCAGGCTCTTCGTCCCGGGCCCCGCCGTACGTCAAGATGGCGACCGGCGCACTTCCGGCCCCGCCCGCGCCTCGGATTGGCCCTGGCGGCGGCCCGTCGCGTCGCGCTGCGGACCCGTCGGAGCGACGCGGCGCTCAGTCGGCGGCCGGAGAGGGAAGATGGACGCAGGTGAGGGCCTGCCGGGGCGTTGAGTACCGGTGGACAGCGCTTGCCTGGCCTCTCGGCCGCTGGGGACTCTCCCGGCGCGGCCTGGGCGCGGGGCGGCGGGTGGGCGGGGTGCGGCCCCGGGCGGGGCGGGCGGGGCGGCGCCTGCGGGGAGGCTGGCTCGGATTTGACAGTCCTGTGTTTGCGGGTCTCGGCGCTTCTCCAGTCCGCCCGCAGCGCCCGGGTGACCGGCCTCGCAGGCCCAAGGCCGCCTCGGACGGGAAGGGGCAGCGCGGCGCCCGGGGCGGGAGGGAGGCGGCCCGGCGCCGCGGGGGGCGCGGGCGGAGCTGGGTCCCGAAGCGGCGGTCGTGGGAAGCTATTGCCTCCGCCCCGCTACGAGTTGAGAAGTGGAACTCGTTAACTTTTGTGAAGTTGTGTTGGTGGGCTGGAGGCAAGAAACCTGCTCAACACCCACAGCACACGCACCTTGTCTGGGCTTTTCATTCTGACAGTGACCCATAGATTACTTTTCCTGTGGTTGAAAATAGACACCGAAGCCATGTCATCAGGGCTTATCTTCTTGGGGTCCTAATGCAAAGTGGGGGTGGGAGGGTGTATGTACACACGTATACATGTAAATGTAGGTGTCCGTGGGCTTTCCGCCTAGCTCATCCTGCTCTGCTCCTTCATTTTTGCTGGCAAGCTATTTTGGACGTTTGTCCAGTAGCCTCGAAAGCGTCTTCGCTGTGGCGCTCTTTTGCATCTTGTGGCAGTTTCAGTTCTTTCCTGTCTGTAGGGAGCGCTTTGCCTCTGAGTACCACCCCGCACCCCCCGTAAAGGAAGACTTTCATCTGGGTTAATTCCACTTGTCACATTGTTTCTGCTTCGTGTTTCTTTTCCTGGCAGCTGTAACATATATTTGCTGAAATCTCAATTTGGAGACTGTAAAGTAGACATATATTGATAGTATTTCGATGACTTGTGGCATTTCCTTACTTAAATGGTGGGTGGCTGAAGGAAACAGTAGCCCTGACTCCCAAAGGAGCCTGTTAGGCGGCACGTATTTTTTGTGAAGTTTATTTAAAAACAAAAACGTACCAGGCAGTGTTGTGCTGTTTGCTGGGACATGGGGTAGAGGAGGAATAGAATTATTTCTCTACTTTCTTTTATGCTATTCCTGCTCGATACCTAAAGTCATTCCTGTGAGAGACTTGGTGAAGGTGGAAAACGGTTTAACGTTGGTCATATTATCTCAAACGTGAAAATCGCCATGTTAAAGTTAGGAGTAGCCACCCTGGCCGGGTGGTTCGGTTGGTCGGTTGGTGGGAGCGCTGTACTGTATCCCCCTCCCCCCAATGGTTGCGGTTTTGATCCCTGGTTAGGGCATGTGTGGGAGGCAGCTGCTCAATGTTTCTGTCTCACATCAATGTTCCTCTCTTTCCCTCCCTCCCTCCCTGTCTCTCTGAAACCAATAAACATGTGCTTGGGTGAGGATTAAAAAAACATTATAAAATTAGGAGTAGCCACGTGATGATATCCTAATGGGACACGCAAGGCTGCTTCAAAGTAGAAAAGGTGTCTGCATTTGCAGGCCTGTGTTGATGCTGATAAAAATGTATATGATATTTGTAGGGTGTGGTGGAGAGTTTTATTCTGAGCTGACGTGTGCTTACATCCTTTTAGGGATGGTTAATGGTCCATCCTCCCTTGATCCCTGCTGTCCTTACAGTCTGCTTTCCTTGACCAAGTGTTCAGATTCCTGGTTGTTTTCACAGTCATCCGTTCAGTAAATTACTTTTTTTTTTAATCCTCACCCAAGGACATTTTTCCATTTTTTGTTCAGATAGAGTGGGAGGGAGAGAGAAGAAGAGAGAGAGAGAGAGAAACATCGACAAGAAAGGGACACATCGAGTGGCTGCCACCCATACGACCAACCAGGGTCAGGGACAAACTGCAACCGAGGTACACGCCCTTGGCGGGAACCGAACCTGGACCACAGGCCAGCGCTCCAACCACTGAGTCAAACCAGCCAGGGCCAGTAAACTACATTTATGATTGTGTGGGAAGTTTGTGTTGGTCATTGTTCTAGACCCTGGGGCTAGAGAAGTGAACAAAATAGACGACAACCACACTCTTTTCACATTCCAGACATGACGCCAGTGGCATGGGTCATGTGGAAGAGTGATATGGGCCAGGCAGAGGGGGTTGGAGTCGGAGCCAAGATGGCCAGGAAGGTCTCACTGCAGAGACCCAGAAGCAGTGTAGAAGGAAGGGCAGGTGGTGGGCAAGCAGCAGCAAGTTGGCATTGTGGCCAGCACAGTGAGTGGCTGAGAGAAGCAGAAGCTGGAGGCCGATAGGCGACTTGGGCTCGAGCATGGAGCCCTGCTGGGTCATGGCGAGGACTTGGGTGTACGTTTATCCTGAAGGAGATGGTGATCCTCTGAAAGGTTTGAGAGGAGTCATGAGACTGGAGGTATGTTTAACAGACTCACTCTGGCTGCTTTGTGGAGAATATACTGCAGAGGGCAGGGCAGCAGCAGGAGGCCAGTTAGGAGGCTACTGCAGGAAGCCAGGCAGAGGCCTGGGTCAGGGTGGGGAGAGAAGGCTGAATTTTGGGCGTGTTGAAGGTTGAGATGATAGGGCTGTGTACAGATGAAAAGTGGTGAGGGCTGGGGTGGAGAGAAAGGAGTTAAGGTGGTGAAGTGGTATGTGGCGTGAGGTCAGAAACTAGATGGGGAACACTTGGGGATGTCTGCCTGGTGGGGAGCTCTCGGGAGTTAGTTTTGTCTTGTGTTGGCTATGGGTGCCTGTCAGACATTCATGTTGCGATGTCTGGGGAGCTTTTGATCCACGGACCTGGAGCTGAGGGAGTAGACCTCGCCTAGGTACAGTGTGCGGAAGGCCACTTTGAATGAAGTCACTGAGGGTCTGAGTGTGGGTGGGAAGAGGAGGAGCCAGGGAGGGGGTGGCCCAGGGCTGCCAGTGCTTAGAGGTCCAGAAGGTACCAGGCAGACTGCAGACTGTCTTCTCCAACAAGCCTCCAGTACTGTCCATCAAAACACACTCCCGGTTCAAGGAACTGGCAGGCCCAGCATTTTCATGGCCACGCTGTCAGTGCTTGAGGCAGAGCGGTGTCCTGTGCTTGCAGCCTGTGCTTCACATGGTGCCTGGCATGTGCGTGTTCGGTACCTGAAGAAGCAGAGCTTGTGTTACTCACGTCCCCGTTCCTGTGGTATAAGCACTTCAGTCATGCCCTGGTCGGTGTGGCTCAGTGGATAGAGAGCATCGGCCAGTGGACCAAAGGGTCTCGGGTTCGATTCTCGGTCAAGGGCATGCACCTAGGTTATAGGTTTGATCCCTGGCCCCAGTCAGGGTTGTGTGGAAGGAAACCAGTAGGTGTGTCTCTCTCTCACATTGATATTTCTCTTTCTCTATCCCTCTCTCCCACTCTATCTGAAAATCAATGGCAAAATATTTGTGGGTGAGAATTGACAAAAAAGAACTTCAAACTTCAGTCCTAGAGCCTGTGTGTAGTACAGAGCCAGTCTGTTCGTAAGGTGTCGGTGAATGAGAAGGGCTGCTTCTGGCAGGGCAGTGAGGCTACTGTGGATGTTCTGTCCCCTGTGTTCACTGAAGCAGGGCTTTCCAGATTCCTGGTGTTGCTGAAGTTCTCAGATCTGTCCCTCCCTTCTCCTCTACCCTTCAGACTGAAGCATCCTGGGTTCAAATGTTCGTCAAGGGCACATACCTAGGTTGCAGGTTTGATCCCTGGCCCCAGTTGGGGTCGTGTAGGAAGCAGCCAGTTGATGAATCTCTCTTTCTCCCCCTCTGTCGCCTTCTCTCCCCCATCTGCAGATCAATGGAAAAATACCCTTGGGTGAGGATGAACAACAACAAAAATAACTACTTGTAAATACATGATCTTAAACCTTTTCTGAAGGAAGGGAGACGCCTTCATTTGATTTTATTTATAAATGAGAATTTTTCAGAATACAGGAGTGTTTGGGGGACATATCCTGAAACATGATAAGCTCTTAAAGAAATCTAATGATGAAATGTTTTGTGGTTCTTTGGGGTTGAATTTGAGCAATGTGATGGGTGCTAAGTGCAGAGAAGTTAGTTACATTCCTTGAGCACAATTCCCCATTTTTCTATCAGATTAATAATATTAATTCAAAACTTTTTTCCTAATGGAGTTACCATGCTATTAAAGAGCTTTGTTTGTCCTCTTCCAGGTGTGATCAGGGATCTCCCAGGGAGGATGTGGGAAATCGGGTGTCTGGGACCCAGGTGACTGAATGGGAAAAGTCTTTCTCAAGGGGCCTCTTTTGTAAGGTGGACGATGCTTCTCTAGCTGGCTTCTCCTTTGTGTTGTCTTATTTCAAATTAAAGTCAAGATCAGGGAGTCTGACCTGGCCGGTGTGGCTCAGTGGACTGACTGTTGTCTCATGGACTGAGAGGTCCCAGTTCCATTCCTGGTCAGGGCACATGGCTGGGTTTTGGGCTGGATTCCCGGGGATGGTAGGGAGGGGGGCATGCAGGAGGCAGCCGATCCATGTGTCTCTCTCACATCAATGTTTCTATCTGTCTCCCTTCCCCAGTCTCTAAAATATAAAAACAAAACGAAACATAAAAACAAAAAAGACCAGGGAGTCTGAAGACCAGCATTCTTTTTGAGCTTGGAGTCCTTTTAACTCAAAAGGTATGGAACTGCTTCATAAAATGTGACATTGTGTGAAGAGGGTGACATTACAATGCACCCTCTGAGATGAGGTGGCCATCTCTGGGAGGCAGGTGGAGGCCACTGGGCTGTCTGAGAGCAGAGTCCTCACCAGGCCTGAGGCAATACAAATAGGAGTGGAGGTGCTCAGACCACTGCTGGGTGCTGTGCGTGTCGCAGGAGCCTTGCGCCTACTCGTGCTGTCCAGTCCACTGGGCTGAGCTGGTGGCTTTGCCCATTTCGTGGTCGAGGAGACTGAGGCTTAGAGAAGTTAAGTTAGGTGTTGCACAGCGAGTAATTGGTTTCTGTCTTCAGAAACAAATCATAGAAATTAGAAAGTTGAGCGTTAGAAGTGTCACTTAGAACATTTCTCCTTTCTTTGTTAGAAAGTTGGATCCAGAAGGTCCAGGAGCTTGGGGGTCTAGGTCCCTCTGTCATGCAGTGACCTGTGAGGGTGCCAGTCTGTGGCATTTCAGGCGTCGAGCAGGACAGGTTGGTCCTGTCCTCCAGTGCATGTGGGACAGCCACAGCCACATTGACGCCAGTCAAGACCTTCTGGTGGCTGCTCAGGGATGGGAAGTGCTTCACTTGCTTTTCTGGCTGAAATCGCTGCAGGTCTTGGAGCTCTTTGTGCTCATTTTCCAGAGCGAAAGCTGGCAGATACTGGATCGACCGAGCAGTGGCACGGGTGCTGGCTTCTGCTCCCGACGCAGTACTGTGTGAGGACAGCGTGTCACCCGGGTTTGGTGGTGTGAAGTGATTCGTGTGTGTGGTGGGCTTCCTGTTCATGCTGTGTGCGGTGTTGCAGCTCAGTGTGGGCACAGACTGTCATCCTCGTCTCACCCACTTCAGGGAGCCCCAGGGGGCCCACGGGGAGATGTGCTCACTGTCGCCCTGCACAGGTCACAGCTTTTCATGCTTAGTAACTTGTTCTCACACAGCCTGGAGGAAGGCATAGCTGTTCCCGTTTTACCAGTGAGAAAGCTGAGGCCCAGGAAAGTCACTGACTTGTGGGGGTGACAAGACTGGTTAGGGTGCCCATGCTTTTGGTTGCACACTGGGGAGCTGTGGTCAGCAGGTTTGGTGGGGGTGCTCCCTGTGCATGGTGTCCTCCAGGCAGAGCCAGTGGCGGTCCCCATCATGAGGAACCCACGTGCGGTGGGAAACAGGAATGTCCAGTTCTAGAGGTAGATATGACACACGTGTTCAGCTGGGGGGCAGAGGCCCGGGTGTTTGTAGAGATAGGAAGAGCAAAGAAGTGCGGGGGTAAAGGGACCCCACAGATATGGGTGCTGTTACTGTGTGCTCTTTCTTAGCTGGCGAGAGCTGGGGTGCCTCCTGGTGGTTTATCCCTGTAAGTGTCTCATCTCCTTGCTGGCCTTTGGCTTGTGCAGTGAAGAATCTGAGACTATACAACCTATAATTTTCCTAGTTGTGCTAGGAAATTTGGTGATGTGTCTTAACTTAATAGGACTACCTTCCCTCTGAAGTTGGCTTCGTTGCCTATAAAGTTTGCTCGTAAACCTAAGAAATATGCCTGCTTTGCGTTTGGCCACTCAAGTGATGAAACCCCTGAACTTCAGAGCTACCTTAGGCCTTGTTACCCCCTTTCAGAATGAGCCTTTTCCTTCCTTCCAGTCATTTTCTTCACATGGGAAGCGAGGTTCTGCGGAGTGTCAGTGTCTAGAGTGACCCTGCAGACAGCCTTGTGCCCCGGTCCTTGCCCCTGTAAGCTACTCGCCCAGAGCGCTTAGCGTTCTCCAGCATTTTAGGCGATGCGGCTTCTTGAGTTCACATCTGCTGCCCTGGGAGGCTTCAGGTAACAGAGTGTTCCAGCTCCAGCCCGATGAGAATTACAGTTGACGGGAATCAGCAGGTGTTGTTGGCATCCTTCTTCCTTGAGAGTAAATCGTGGATTTGCGTGTACAGGCCAGTGAAGGCCTGGGGTCATGGGAGATGGTGACTGCTGATGGTACAGAGGTGCGTTAGAGAGAACAGAGACATGATGTCTCCAGCTCCTCGAGAAGACAGACTTTTCATGTATCCCACCTTGGTTTTTATGATCACATACAGAAACACGTAATCTGATGTGAAAAAGGGAGAAGTAAACTTACATTACATTGTGCATCCCCGTCACTAAGCAGCCTGGTTGACATTGACTGTGGGCACACGGACTCAGGAGACGTGAGAGCAGAGGAGTGAGACCAGGCCCTGCCATCGCCCTGGGCCCTCTGGGCAGCAGGGCTGGTCTGGAAGTACAGGGGCCTGGGACCCTGAAAAGGCAGAGCTGCGTCTGGGTTCCTGACAGCCCAAGGGCTCTCTGTCACACACACTGGCCTTGTGTGGCAGCAGATCTGATGGCTCGGCCCTGTGGTGGGGACTTAGCAGTGCAGCGGTTCAGTTCTGGTGCAGTGAAGTGCGTGCTTTTAGCCCTGCAGTTGCTGTCCCTGTGACACAGCCGGCCTTGGAGCCCTCTGTCTTGGGTCTCCTGAGCACCTCCTGGGGAGGGTCCCTGGACACTTCACGGCCACACAGCGAGGGTGTCCTGGTATTTCCCTCATTTTATGAGTGAGGGAATTTCTACCCTGAGAAGTCATGTAAGTGCCCCAGGCACCTGCAGCTCTGTCCCTGCCTCTCCTGGGGGTTGTGTACAACACAGAAAAACGGCCTGGGTGCTGGCGGGAAACAGGTGTACACAACAGGGCCCTGAGTCTGTTAGGTTGTCACACGTGCTGCAGAATGGTGAGACATGAGAACGGATGGAACTGTGACTCTGGGGACTGACCGTCCTCTGGGAAGAATAAGATAAGGAAACTGCTAGTGTGCTGTGGCCTCTTCCTGGGTCTGTGCAGAAAGACTTCTGCAGGGACAGTCACTGCTGGGTGTGAGGCTGTAGACGATGTTTATTTTTTAGCATTTTTTAAAAAGTTGATTTTAGAGAGGAGGGAAATGTCAGTGTGAGAGAAAAGCATCAATTAGTTGCCTCTCGTCCTGGCCGGTTTGGTTCAGCGGTTAGAGCGTCGGCCTGCGGTCCTGAGAGACCCGGGTTCGGTTCCCGCTAAGGGCATGTACCTCAGTTGCAGTTTGTCCCTGGCCCTGGTCGGTTGTGCGGGTGGCAGCCACTCGATGTGTTCCTTTCATATCAATGTTTCTCTCTCTCTCTCTGTTCCTCTCTCTCCCTCCTACTCTATCTGAACAAAAAATGGAAAAATGTCCTCGGGTGAAGATAAAAAAAAAACAATTAGTTGCCTCTCACACATGCCCCAGCCTGGGATCGAACTCACAACCTGGTCATGTGCCCTGACTGGAATTGAACCTGCCACTTTCTGGTGTATGGGACGACACTCCAGCCAATTGAGCCACACTGGCCAGGGCTGTAGATGATTTCTCATAATGTTTTTGTCATCTTTAAAAAAAAAGCACGTATCATTTTTACCAAGAGGTGGAGCTGTTGTAAAAAAATAAAGACGACGGAGAAATTCACACAGTATTGATTTCCCAAAGACATCTGTGAAGCTGTGTGAAGGATGCGATCGCTGGGTTGTGTGGGCGCTGTGTTCCGGGCTCGGAAGAACAGCTGCAGAGACAGCACCTGTAGCACACGCCTCCCTGCTGTGGGACCTGTGCCCGAACAGGGCTCCCTCGCCAGGGCTCCCTCACCAGGGCTCTGTGCACAGGAGGGACCCTGGGCCTGCCTGGGTCCTCATGGAATCAACAGAGTAAGAAGGGGTTCAGGTCTTATTAGCTCAGTAGGTAGACCTTGCGTTCTGCACACAGAGACCTGCTTAGGAAGTGGGGCGTTGCCAGTGGAAGCTGGTGGCTATGCCCATCTGGTGTCATTGTCAAAGTGAAAGCAGGCTCCAGACCTTCAAAGTGATCTTCAGGCCTCTCGGCATCTGGGACTTTAGGGGACTTTTCCCTCCATTTCTGGAGCCTAGTGTCCCACCCAGGAGTTTGCACCCTGCCCCCATCTACAGCTGACTGCTCCTCACCAAGAATGCTCAGGCGGACTGGAACCCCCCCCTCCCAGTTGCCTGGGAGGGGTCTGGTTTCTTGCCCCAGTGCACCGGCCTTCAGCGTGGCTTCTGGGCACGTGCTCCCAGGTGATGTCTGGAGAGCCTGTGAAAGCTTACTCTCCGGGCACTCTGCCAGTCTGGCCTCCCTTGCACACAAAGTAAAGGTTTCATTTTACTTTTGTCCTTTAAGTTTTAAACATTTCAAGATTAAAACAAGTGTTTAAATTGGGTGGCTTTAGTTTTGTTTTTTGTTGTGTGTTTTTTATCCTCATCCGAGGACATTTTTCCATGTTTTGTTCAGATAGAGCTGGAGGGAGAGAGAGAGAGAGAGAAACATCGATGTGAAGGGACACATCGAGTGGTTGCCACCCGCACGACCAACCAGGGCCGGGGACAAACTGCAACCGAGGTACGTGCCCTTAGCGGGAACCGAACCCGGGTCTCTGGACCGCAGGCCGACGCTCCAACCGCTGAGCCAAACCGGCCAGGGCAGTTTTGTTTTTTACTTTCTGTCCCCTACGCCTGGCCCCCAGTTGGTCACTCACCCTTGTTTCTTGTGGTACTGACTCTGGCTTTGAATCTGAAAGGCTTGGGAAGTGGGGTGGCAGGTCCCACTTCCTAATCCCCACACATCGCCACACATCAGAGCCGCTGCCCAGTCTGCTCTGTCAGTGGCCGTGGTCAGGTGGCCCTCAGATGCAGAATTCCACGTGGGTTTTTTAATATGGAAATACGATAATCTGATACTATTTTATGAAATTATAAATATTTGATCAGTGTGTACCTTTGGTTTCAATAGCTACTCTGACCTATGACACTCTCCGATTTGCCGAGTTTGAAGATTTCCCGGAGACCTCAGAGCCTGTTTGGATACTGGGTAGAAAATACAGCGTCTTCACAGGTACCAGCCGTGTCGGAGCCCACCGCACTCTTAGTGCTCGGTCTCCAGAACCATTTTGTGCTAATAATAGTTATCTACCAGCTCTCCGACCTATGACCTGGGACTTATGGCTGCGTGTGCATGTGTTTTCTTCCTTTAAACGCTCTCTAGAAAAGGACGAGATCTTATCCGATGTGGCGTCCAGGCTCTGGTTTACGTACAGGAAGAATTTCCCAGCCATTGGTAAGTACTGCTGTCACGTGTGATGCGATGTGCACATCGTAGGAGGAGGGAAACAGATCGATGAGCAGGTTGACTTGGATGTGCCCAATACTGTCACTTTGTGTTAATCCTCACGGCAACCCCAGGGAGGTGGGCTGGCGAGTCTCGCCCCGTTGTGCAGAGCTGGGTTCCAGAACAGGGCTCTTGGCAGTGGTCTCCAGCCCCGAGTCAGCGCTGGTTCCGGGGCTTGAAGTCAGGGTGAGGAGTCCTGAGCAGCAGTGGAAACAGGAGCCTGGTCTGTGAAGCAGCAAGTGCTGTGGAGGCTGCAGTGGGGTCGCTTATCTGAGCCTGGTGCTGGGTCCGGGCTGTAGGGCCAGCGTGGCTGGAGGCCGTGCTCTGCACCCATCGTCGTCTCCAGCAGGTTCCACACTCAGTGGACAGCTGAAGGGCAGGGTGGCTGGGACATGTTTTCCCATGACATGAAGTACGTTTCATTAAGAGTGATTCTTCGGCATCGTGCCCCGGAGGCGGGCAGAAGTTGAGGACCAGCTTGGCCTGGCCTTTGCCAGTCGGAAGACCTGAGACCAGAGGCTCAGGGCCAGGAGGCTGCACCTCCTCAAATGCCTGGTCTCGATTCGGTTCCCCGCCAAGATGTGTTCTTCAGAAGGAGGGGCGTGAAGTCGCCACAGTGCTCGACATTCAGAGAACTGAAGTGCAGGGAAATGAGACCAGTGTCCCCAGGTTAATATTGGATGATGTGATTTGTCAAGTGCACTCTGTCCTGGTTGCACCTGCTCTCGGGCTGTTCTGCTCGGCCCTGGGTGCAGGGGTGCAGTCACCTGCCTGCCAGTTGAGGCGTGCTGTCCTGCAGGTCAGATGTCTGAACGCAGGGGAGGAGGACAGGCTAGAGAGGAGCCTTGTGCTGTTCCTCACCGTCGTTGAGGAGGAAGTGGGCTGCCCCAGCTCTGAAGCCAGTGTGGTGTTTCCTCCCTTCACCCTTGGACATGGCTTGTTGGTTTGGGAGGTGGGGGAGCAAGCACCGTGCTGAGCACCTTCTCCAGCCCCACCCCTGCCCCAGGAGGTGGCTTTGTGCCTGTGGGTCTGGGCGGGGTTCCTGAGGCTCTCAGGTGCAACTGCAGCCCACAAGGCGGACTCAGGAGTCTGCTCATTTGGTGCCGGCCATCTTGGGCCTCGCTGATAGTCAGGACCTCAGGGCATTTCCTGTCTGTCCGGGCCGTCTCACTTACACTATACCAGGTGCCCAGTGTCTGATCAGCGCACTAGCGAGTGGATGGGACGTGATGGGCCAAGGCACGTGGGCCTTCATTGCCCACCCTGAGCCTTCCCCCCAGTGCCAACCACCTTCCTCCTCCACTGTCTGCTGTGTGTGTGACGACTCGCAGGCGCAGCGTCTCCTCCTGTTTTCCAGACAGCCGTCCTTCTCTGTGACTGGTTCGCGCATTTTACCCATTTGAGAGGTTGTGAGGACATTCACTCTCCAGCAGTGGGTCCTTGGCATGACCAGGTTCTAGGTCACGCATGTTGCCGAGATGGCGCTGCCGCCTGCAGCAAAGAGTGACCTGACCGGGAGTCCGCTCTCTCTGCCACCACAGGGGGGACCGGCCCCACCTCAGACACAGGCTGGGGCTGCATGCTCCGCTGCGGACAGATGATCTTCGCCCAGGCCCTGCTGTGCCGGCACTTAGGCCGAGGTAAGTCAAGCCGAGGACATTTGGGTTCTCAGGAAGCAAGGAGTGTGGGTGAGGTTTTGCCAGACACAGATGAGGATTCAGGGGCTTCTTCACTAGTGCTCCCTGGTCTCCACTGATTGAAGAAAGTGGCTTTAAAGAAAGCTGATAAATGCTTGTCTTTCAGAAGTGCTCGTTAGCCCCGAGTCAGTGCACTGCTGACTTCCTGTGTGGGTGTTACTGATGGGCTGGCACCTTCGGAATCCTCGGGAGGTGGCTCTTCACGGAGCATTGCTCACAGCGGGCGGATGCCGGCTGTGCTGAGTATTTCTAGCACACAGGCTGCTTTCTCACCTGTGGTAAAACGGCTCTCTGCACCTTTCTCCACCAGATTGGAGGTGGACACAGAGGAAGAGGCAGCCGGACAGCTACTTCCATGTCCTCAACGCATTCATCGACAAGAAGGACAGTTACTACTCCATCCACCAGATAGGTGGGCAGGGCAGGGTGCCCTAGACCTGGCTGTGGTAATGGGTGGCAAGTCTCAGGGTTCCCGCCAGCTGTGCTGCATTGTGGTGTGTGCACTGTGGTGTGTACACTGTGGTGTGTGCATTGTGGTGTGTGCAGCGTGAGGCCTGTCGCCACCTTGGGCTGGGGGGTCAGCCAGGCTGCTCATCACAGCAGCTGTGAAAATTGGGTTTACTCGAGTCTGAACGCTCCCTTGTTTTAAGCAAGTCCAACTTCTGAGCATCATGTTCTCAGTTGTAGGAAAAGAGCCCTGAATTCAGTGAGTCATTTTACTTCTTCGTCCTGCTCCTCACTGAAGGACTGGAATCCTGGTTCATAGTGAAGGACAAACCTTCAGACAGTGTTTGTCCGGTTTGGATGAAGCGCCCTAGTGCCGTCAGCCATGCTGGAGGCAGGTTTAGGCGTGCCTGTCCAGGCTTCCTGTAAAGTGCTCCTCGAGCCACTTGCTGCCAAGACTGGCCTCTTCTGAGAGTTGTGGGGAGGGACGTTGTGGGTGGGGTGTGCGTGTCACTAATCACATCTCTTTTCTCCAGCACAAATGGGAGTTGGCGAGGGCAAGTCCATTGGCCAGTGGTATGGGCCCAACACAGTTGCCCAAGTTCTCAAGTATGTACCAAGCCCTGGTTTTTCTCATCCAAGAAACTAGAAACATTATTCGCTTGATAGGCTACAGAGCTGAACCATCTCTCAATCGTGAAAGCTTACTGGTGTCCTCCCCGTTTCTGTAGGAAACTTGCTGTCTTCGACACGTGGAGTGCCCTGGCCGTGCACATAGCGATGGACAACACCGTGGTGATGGAGGACATCAGTAAGTGAGAGAGCAGGTCGGGGCTGGCGGGGCTCTGGGAGCGACAGCCGAGCACACATCCCTCCCGGGCTCACAGGGGCCTCGCCTGAAGCGGCAGCTGTGAGCCCTGCACAGCCGCTGGGTGCCCTGAACAGAAGCCAGGGGACCCCACATTTCCTTACAGAGAGGACCAGGCTAAGGGGAAGGGCCTGAATTCCCTTCCAGAGCTGGGTTACGTAGGACCCCACGTGATTTTTGTGCAGTGTTAAGGCTGCAGGGCTGAGCTGTGTGTGCAGGTGTTCATGTGCATGGTACACCTCCAAGGAGGCCGGACAGCAGGCTCCCCCCGTCTCAGGTTGCGGTGTAACATGGAGCAGGGATGATAGCTTGGCCCCTTTCTGGAAGGATCTCCGGGACACCTGAAGGAATTGGGTACATGGAAGTTTGGTCCAGAGGAGAATGAGGCCCAGTTGGGCAAGCAGCCCGCCATGAGTGAGTTCTGGGCCTTGCTTCACCTTTTATTATGCGCCCAAGCTGACGGCTGCTCTAAGGCCTGGTTGCTTTACTCAGCAGCACTGGTTCCCCAAGAATTTCCCAAAGCAGCCTCAACCCAGTGTACTTGAAGTGCCACATTAGTTGCCTTGAATCCAGTTCTGTGGGGGAGAGCGCTCTTGGAGCTGCATCCTGCCAAGTCCACAGACTTGCAGGGAGACGTGGACACGGGGGGCAAGCCTTGCACACTGAGCGCCGTGTGGGGCAGCTGCGGGGTGGGGCGCGGCTGCACGTGTGCTTGTTGCTCACAGGGTGTTGCTTCACTGCCGGGCGAGGGGCCCATCCTGGGACACTGTCAGCGTAGGACTGGGGAGCCAGGGATGTGACCTTAATAAACAACAGCACTGGCTTCTGCAGCCCCGAGCACACTGACAGACCCTCGCCCCTTTACAGCCTCTTTCCCAGAGAGGTGCCTTGGGCCTGTAGCAGAAGGGTGTGTATTCCTCTTCCTGCCTTTTCTCCATGTGCCATTTCCAGAAAGTTTTCTGAAATATTGGAAAGTTAGGAGATGTGTGAAGAACGGACAAAATCACTTGATTTTACCTCTCAGAAATAGCTCACGTTGACATGTAGACATCGTTCCTTCCAGTGTTTTTGTTTTTGTTTTCTAAAAAAATACATAGTATATAAGCATTTTCTCTTGTCACTGAAAGTATTATAACTGTCTTATTATCTGGCTGCACAGTGCTCTTTTCCCCGTGTTGGGGATCATCCTTCACTCTCCTCTGGGTCTAGCCCCGTTTCTCGTCCAACCCCTGGCTTCAGACTGTAGGCTGGTTGCTCCAGGGGAGTGGCCAGGAAGGGGCAGGGACAAGCGGCTTTCCAGAACCTCCAGCCCTCTGTGGGGTGCGGGTGTCACTGGTAGGGGCCTCTCCAGTCTCTTCTGGGGAGTCCCAGGTCATTCAGAGCAGCTGTGCTGGAACTGTGACAGGACGTGAACCCAGCCAGGCCTGTCTGAGGAGCTGTGGGTCTGGTTCTGTGGAGGGTCTGACCCTGCGTTGTGAACAGGCTCCCAAGAGGGGTGTGTGGCCAGCTGGCCATAACCAGGGCCCAGTCTCACTGCGCCGTCCTCCCTTCCTTCGGGTCAGGAGTTATGCATGCACGTCACAGGGACAGGTGGAGGATGTCCCGTGTCCGAATTTAGGAAGAAGAGCATTGGAACACAACCAACGAGGACACTGGGACTGAACACTTGGTGTAGTAAGGCGCAGGGTGAACAGGCGATTCTGAATGGCTCATACTGATTGCTTCTGGCTCGAGAGCCCAGGAGAGAAGAGACCAGGCTTCAGTAGAGACAGGTCAGCAGCTTTTCTGGTGCACTGCTGAGTCACCGAGGGCAGCAGGCCAGGGAGGGAGGCTTGGGTTCAGCACAGCAGAAGGTGGAGAAACTGCCTTGTTTCTCAGAAAAGCCTGCTAATGTCAGAAATCCCACAAGCCTCTGCAGTGGAAGAGTGGCTTATGATGTTCCTGTTCAGATTCTACGGGAAGTGTGCTGAGCCAGGGGACACTTTGTTTCTTGGGTGTCCCTGTCACCCACCAGCCATCCATCTCTCAGGGCCCACCAGGAAATCCAGAACAGGCCTGCCGGTGTTTAATGTGGATAGAATCCCACCTTCGTAAGCACAGCGGACGGTGGGAAGTCACAGAATTGGGGGAGAAATAGATGGGAAACGGTCGTCTGCAGTGAGCACAGGTGACATGATGGAGAGACTGAACACGGGCGTAGTTGGGGGGGGAGCGAGGCCGTGAGCACAGGTGACACGGTTGGACAGACTGAACATGGGTGTCGTCGGGAGGGGGGCGAGGCGGCCACGGCAGACGTGGATGTGCAGCAAAAGGGAGGCGACTGTGTGGGTTCGAGTGGCAGGAGGAAGTACAGGGTGACAGCGAAGTCAATGGAGGTGGAAGAAGAGTTGAGTCTTTAGAGCTAAAGACTCCAGATGTTCAGAGTCAAGAATACGTAAAGTATGCATGTTCCTGGGGACGTGTCCAGGTTGCAAAAGTAAAGCAAAACTTGTACACGCACCCAAATGGTAGTAACGATCTTCCCGTGAAGAAAGGCTGTTCACTGGCACTGCGGCCTCGTCTTCCTGTACCCGACCCCGGGAAGCGCTTGGAATCCTGAGAGGCCTGGGTTGGGAACGCAGATCTGCTGTTTAGTTGTCACTGGTGAAAAAACAGAGAACTTAAATAAGTTGCAAATGTTAGGGGGCATTTGAAAATTACAAATGGGGGCCTGAGACAAAGGAAACCCACTTATTAGCAGGGTTCTTGTGGCATAGCAGGCCACACATGGGCTCTCGAGGCCGAGTGCGGCTGCGACCCCTGCCCCGTGCTGCGCCGGTCCCTGTCTGGTGTGATGTGGAAGAGAACGTCCATGCTGGTGGGAGAGAGCGAGTCTGCAAGAGAACGTTCCCATCACAAAACAGCCTGAAATGCAGGGAAGCAAACCTAGGTCAACGAAGAGACCATGACAGGTCACATAAGTAAAAACTAAGTTACAGGAGAGCAGAGTAACAGTAAGAGTGTAGCAGTGCATATCGAAGCTGAGGTTCTGGTGGCAGAACGTACCTCTTTACACATTTATATGCACTAGTGCAGAATGAAGAGGAAAAAGGACAAAACTCTGCTACCTCGAAGTTTTAAACCTTTGTCTTAGCTCTTGGGTCAAAGGAAATCAAGTTAACAGCCTGCATGTCAGAATTTGATGTATACTGAACTGAGAAGGAAAACCTGCACCTTTGTACTGGTGGTCGAAGAGTAAAAAGTGAAATGAATGGAAGAAGCCCCCGGAGAGCAGCATTGACGCCAAATGCAGGGATTGACGATTTCAAGGAAGAAACGGTAGAACTGATGACTTCCATGCAGATCACCAGACAAGCACCGGGAGGCAGAGGAGCAAGCCAAGGGATGTCTGGTTAGAACTCAGAGGAAGATGCTGACGACTGGTTCTGATGTGTGGGTTTCCCCACACTGCCAAGCAGTTGACATCAGCTGGGTGTCCTGCAGTTCAGCTCAGCTCTGACCGTCTTCCTGGAAGTGGTGCAGACCTCACAGGCTAAGGGCTCGGCCCTGCAAGGTGCCCCCCCTCAAGCCAACAGCAAGTCCAAGTGTCACCTGTGCTTCTGACCGCTAGAGGTTGGCGACTCTCACCACCCCCTTGGGTTGGAGTATCTGCTAGAGCGGCTTGCAAAACTCAGAAACATGTTACTCACTGGGTCACAGTTTCTTCTAAGGATGCAACTCAAGAACAGCCCGGTGGAGGGGCTTCCCTGCCCTCTGCAGAGGACACTCGCCCAGCATCTGCACGTGTCCACCACCCGGAAGCTCTGAACCTCTCGGGTTTCGTGGCGGCTGCATCACAGAAGGTGGTGAGGTCATAGCCATTGGCAGTGGAGCTCTGTCAGCTCCTCTCTACGGGGTGTGGGCGGGGAAGCTTCCGGCCTCCAATCAGGGTTCCTGTGGCAGCCCCACCCTGGGGCTTCCCAAAAGTCTTGCTCACAGAACAAAAGACCCGTATGCTCTAAATTCCAAAGGTCGGAGCTCTGACCTCGGACTCATGATCGCCCTCTAGAACCTCCTGGGATCCAGGAGCCAGGCTTTTCCGTCTCCTCTGATCCAGAAAGTTCTGTTTTGTTTTTCCTGGTTCTTCGTAGCATTGACATTTTTGAAGAACCAGGCCAGCTCAGAAGAATGCCTCACACTCCAGCTGCTGTTTCCTCACGGCGACATTCAGACGAAACATCCTGACCAAGAGCACTGCCTGGTGGCTGCGTCCCCAGCAGGAGGTGCTCCTGGTCGCCTGGGGAAGGCAGTGTCCGTGTCCTGGATTAACGGGTGGTCTGAAGAACACATTCCTGGTGTCTGCAGGGTGGCCCCTCTGATGCGGCCCTTCCTCCTGGTTGGTTGGCACTTTCCTGGAGAAGAGCCCCTTCCCTACCCTCTCTGTACTTACATTTGAAAACTTTGGGGGTTGGTACATTCATAGATTCTTGTTTAACTCAATGTATTGTCCATTATGGTCATTGGTATTGTCCCAGATTTGGCTGGTGAGCACCCCCGCAGGCTGGCCGTGTCTTCCGTTTGCTCCTGTCATCTTCGTCGTTTAGCGCCCCTTTCTGACATTCACTAGACCCTGGCTCTCCTGGTACTTTCCCTGCCCCACCCTGGGCTCTGTCTTCCCCCAGGATCCAGGTTTCTTTCACAAGAAAGGTGCTTAGAGACAGATTGGGTGCTGGCTGAGCTCAAGGCCACTGTCGTGTCTGCCCCTTCTTGCCACCAACCTCCTGGTTCGTGTGTTTGTTGACTTGCCCAGTGTTCTTCAAAGTGGCCTGGACATTTACAAGGAGGACAGTTGTTCCCTTGTGTTCTCTGGGGCCTGGTCAGTGTTGCACTGGCCAGTGGGGTGGCTGCACAGCCTGTGGTAGGTGGCTGGGGCCCGCGGGTGTGCTCCTGCACTTTTCCTGTGTGTGCTTCACGATGGAAACGCCCACTGAGCTCACAGGGAAGGTTCGGTTCTTTTTCTCTGTGTGTGGCAAGGTGAGTCATATGCTTTATTCCCAAAGTTTGACTTGTGTTTTTTATACCCTGTTTATATACCTGTTTCTTTTGGGTGAATTTGTGCCTCCTTAGCCTATGAAAACACATCTCCCTTTTCAGGAAGGGTGTGCAGGAGCAACCTCCCGAGTGCGGAGGCCTCTGCATCTCCTGCAGATTTCGAAGGGCACTGCAATGGACTCCCTGCAGGAGCTGAGGTCACCAGCAGGCCGTCACCATGGAGACCCCTGGTGCTTCTCATCCCCCTGCGCCTGGGACTCACAGACATCAACGAGGCCTATGTGGAGACCCTGAAGGTGGGTCTGTGCTGGGCCTGTCCTCTCACTGACTAGTGGGGAATTGAATTACTGTTCTGCACTGAATCCCTTCTGTGCCTGGCCATCGTGGCTCAGTGGTTGAGCGTTGACCCTGCACCAAGAGGTCGCTGGTTTGATTCCTCATCAGGGCACATGCTCAGGTTGTGGGCCAGATCCCCAGTGCGGGGCGTGCAGGAGGCAGCCAGTCGATGTTCTCATTGATGTTTCTCTCTTTCTCTCCCTCTTCCCTCCTCTCTCCTCTCTCTTTGAAGCAATGAAAAAAGAAAAAACCTTCTGTGCCACCATCTTGGCCTTGTCCTCACGCTCTCTGACCCCTTCCCTAGGCCCCTCCTGCATGAGCTGAGCCCATGGCACATGTTTCTTGTCCTATTCCTAAGCTCTTGGGGGCTCATTCTCGTCCTCCGGCCTCCTGTTCAGGGGTGCAGGCCTCCTACTCAAATGTGCCCAGCAGCCCACCTTCCCTTCCTCCTGCAGGGCTGTTTCATGATGCCTCAGTCCCTGGGAGTGATTGGAGGGAAGCCCAACAGTGCCCACTACTTCATCGGCTACATGGGTGAGTGACAGGTCCCCAGTGATGCCGGAAGCCCGGGCCGGAGGAGTGGTCTCTAGGGCAGTGCTGCCCCCACACACCCAGAGGCAGCTCGGCCAGGTCCACCGTGGAGGAGAAGCATGCGCTGCCCCGGGCAGCGGTGCCTCCTGTGTGCGTGCCCTTCCCCACCCGCTCTGCCCACTCCTGCCCACGTGGCTCAGCCGTTCGGCGGGCAGCGCTGAAGTGGGCCCTGTCCCGCCCTTGCCGCTGACTTCGTGCCGTCCTCCAGGGGAGGAGCTGATCTACCTGGACCCCCACACCACGCAGCCCGCCGTGGAGCTGGCCGACAGCCATGTGATTCCCGACGAGAGCTTCCACTGCCAGCACCCCCCGAGCAGGATGAGCATCGGGGAGCTTGACCCGTCCATCGCCGTGGTGCGTGGCCTCCTCCGTCGCTGCCCCTGTGGCCGTGGAGCTGGGGGCACCTTGTCCTGGGAGCCTTTGCTGCCGAGCTGCTCCGGAGATGCTGGTCCAGGCCAAGTCTCAGACGGCCAGCCCAGCCCCGGCGTCACCGGGGGACCTGAGCGCCCTGCCGTGTGATTGTACCTGGCCTGTTCCCAGGCCTTAGAGACACGCACAGCCTCCGTGGCCTGGGGCAGCAGGCCAGCAGGCCAAGGGCGAGCCATGGGGGGTGCGGATGGAGCCTGCGGGGAGGCAGAGGCTGGAGCAGCGAGGGTCCCTGCAGTGGCCCTGCGGGGGGAGGTGCGGCCTCCGGGTCACTGCCCCCGGCCAGGTTCTGCCTGCGCCCTCGTGCTGCTGTCTCTGAGCACTGTCTTCATTCCAGGGCTTTTTCTGTAAGACCGAGGACGACTTTAATGACTGGTGCCAGCAAGTCAGAAAGGTTGGTGGCCTCTGCCTGATTGCAGGGAGTGGGGACGGGCCCTGTGCAGGGGCTGTGGGGGGTTCCCAGCTCAGCAGCCTCGTGTTGGCGGGGTAGGGGGAGGTAGGGTTGCCTGCAGGCGGGCACCATGTTGGGTCGCCATCTCAGCCCAGGGTGAAGAGCGTCCGCCTCTGCTCTCGCCAGTGTGCCCTGCTCGCAGTGGTGAACTTGGGGGCAGGGGCTGCACCCTGTGGGCTGCCTCTGACCACGTGTCTTGCTCACAGCTGTCGCTGCTGGGAGGCGCCCTGCCCATGTTCGAGCTGGTGGAGCAGCAGCCTTCCCACCTGGCCTGCCCTGATGTCCTCCACCTGTCCTTAGGTGAGTCTGAGGCCGCAGGGCTGCGTCCGAGGTGGAGACGGGCGCTGCCTGTGTGCTGCTCTGTCCTCCCTCCTTGCTCTACCCTGGGTCCCAGTGCCTTTGATTGTTAAGGTTTGTGTGGGCCCTGCCGGGTGGCTCAGACCCAGTGGGTTAGAGCATTGTCCCAAAAAGCCAAGGTTGCGGGTTTGATCCCTGGTCAGGGCACATGTAAGAATAAGTTGATGGCCCTGGCCGGTTTGGCTCAGTGGTTAGAGCGTCGGCCTGCGGTCCTGAGAGACCCGGGTTCGGTTCCTGCTAAGGGCGCATGCCTCGGTTGCAGTTTGTCCCCGGCCCTGGTCGGTTGTGCGGGTGGCAGCCACTAGATGGGTTCCTTTCACGTCGATGTTTCTCTCTCTCTCTCTGTTCCTCTCTCTCCCTCCCACTCTACCTGAACAAAAAATGGAAAAATGTCCTCGGGTGAGGATAAAAAAAAAAAAAAATCAGTTGATGAATGCATAAGTGGAACAACAAATTGATCTCTAAAAAAAATCGGTTAAAGATTTGTATGAACCCCAGATATGGTCATTGGTGGTTTATATGTGAGTGGGGCCGGGGACCTGTCCCTTTGAGTACCCGCTCCTGTCACCCTGAGCATAGCAGCAGCAGTCTGACCCTCCTCCTGCATCCCGTGTGCAGTCCTCATGGCTCACCCACACCCGGGCCCCAGGCCCCTGGACCTGGGCACGTTGCCCCAGGTCCCCGCATTCTGCACGATCCAGAAAATGCCCGGCTCGCTGTGATGGCACGAGCAGTCTGTGAGCTCCACCGTGGGAGCCCCTCCCGCTCTGTGCGCCCTGGCTGCAGGCGGCTTTGCGTCCCGCTGGGCTCAGGGTCTGCCCCCTCGAGCAGACAGCTCCCTCCACGTGAGCCGAGCACGTGGCACACGGAAAATGAAGACTCGGCACCGAGGCTGTGACCATGTCCAGGTCACACCTCCGCCTGTCCCCGGGAAGACCACTATGAGGACCATGTTGAGCCTGTGGAACATGTATTGAAGGTCACAGGGGACAATGCTGGTGGAGCCAGCTGTCCCCTGACTCTGTGAAGGTCACTGGGGAGGAGGATGGACCCTCTGTCCTGTCATCTCTGTGAAGAGCCCGAGGAATGTGATGATGGAGCTCCCCGACAGAGACCACCTGGGGGTTGGTTGCTGGCGTTGAGACTCAGGACAGGTGCCCTATCCGTCCCAGAGGGTACAAGGTTGGCACTCCGGGGATGGGTGGCCCTTGCCCTCAGCCCCATCATGCACCCCTGGGCTCTGGGGAGAGGTGTGTCTGCTCCTCTTGGGAAAAGCATCACTGGCACCTCTTGTCCTGCGCCCACCCTGCCAGCTCCGACGTGAAAGCTGCTCCCTCTGTAGCCATCCTGGTGCCCTCTTGCCACCGAGCTCACCGGGCACAGGGCAGGGCTCTCTCCAGGCCAGCAGGTGTGGTCGGTGTGCGGACAGCCGCTGTCGCACCCACACCCGGGGAGCCGGCAGGTGTGGTCGGTGTGCAAACAGCCGCTGTCGCACCCACACCCGGGGAGCCCAAGCAGGCGTCTGATGAGGTTTGTTTTACTTTTTTCAGAATCTTCTGACGTAGAGCGACTGGAAAGATTCTTTGACTCAGAAGACGAGGACTTTGAAATCTTGTCCCTTTGAAAACCCTAGAGTTGGGAGACACCTCGACTGCCCTTGCTGGGCGCCTTCGATAGCCCAGAGCCCAGGGGGTGCTCGGTGCCGCTGCATTTCATCCATCCTGCCCGCCTGCCCCCCGCCCGTGCCCCGGCCACCTCTGCCCGAGACGGGACTGCTCTGTGCTCAAGGCCTCACGCGGGAGCGGGACTGCTCGCCAGGCACCTCGGCCACGGGAGAACCCGGACCCCAGGGAGCAGCGGGGCAGCCGGGCTCTGAGTGTCCACGCCACCTTCGTCCTGCCTCCCCCAGGCTCTCAGTTCTGGGTTTTCTTTGGAATTAAAGTCCTGTTTGAAGTTACTCGACACAGACACGCATTTCTGTTGGGCCTGTCCTGAGTCCAAGAAGACTGGAGACAGAGTGAGGAGCGGCCCTGGGACTGGCTTCTGCGCCCTCCGCCTGCAGCCCTGTCCACGGCTCCTCCGGGCTGCCTAGTGGGAGACAGGAAGGCGTGGCCGCTGGCATCTCCTGGCTTTGGGGAGAGAAACGACAGAGGGATGGGGTGTGGTGCCTGCCAGAGATCTCTCTGCGTGTGACTTGCCAGGACAGAGCTGCAGGTAGAGCCCGGGTGGGCTCACCGTCCTCGCCTCCTGCTGGCTCTGGCATTTTGAGACGCTCACATGCTGCTGCTTGCTTGTCATGCTGGCTTCTAGGTGGGCGGAGGGTGGGGAGCTGCCCTGACCTGTGACCCTCGAGCCCTGGAGGGACGTGAGGGTCACGAAGCCTGGTGAGCAGAGGCCGAGGGCGCCGCAGAACTGCCCTCCTGGTCACTGAGGCTTCAGGTGGTTCGGGGCCAGAGGGTGAAACTGTTCACAGTGCAAACCGGTGCCCACCGCTCTTTCGTCGCTTGGAGACATTGCAGACCCTCCTCAGCACTGACGGGCAGCACCGGTGCCTGAGCCCTGGCGGCCCAGAGAGCACGCTCCCACCAGACTGCGGTCCAAGTGCCTCCACGGGCCTGAGCCGGGGAGCCTTCCTGTGGAGCCCCTCCCTCCCTCGGCGCCGGCACTTGTGGGGACAGCAGAGGGTACCTCAGCCCCAGAGTGTCACTGACATAAGTTAATTTGCTCTTTTCCTGTCTCTCCCTCCCCTGGGGAAGGAGGAGGCCGGGCAGTCTCCATTCTGTCTGTTGCAGTTTGGAGATGGCCCCCTGCCTGCTGGGCCAGGAGGTCCCGCGGCCCCTGCGGTGCAGACAGCGGGGACAACGACCAAAGGGGAGCTGTCCTGGTGACTTGAAAAGGCTCACTGAAGAGTGTCGTCCATTCTTAGTATAGTTTGCAGTTCTTCATGGCAAATAACAGTTTCAGTAGAAAACAAAGTCTGTTATCTATGTCTTGACCTCAAGTCAGAGTTGCAGGGATGGGACAGGAATGAATTTTATCCTCACCCGAGAATATTTATCATCAGATAGGGAGGGAGGGAGGGGAGGAGAGAGGGAGAGAAACATCGATGTGAAAGACATCGACTGGCTGCCTCCTGTACCACCCGACCAGGGCCAGGGACAAACCACAACTGAGGTACATGCCCTTGATTGGAATGGAACCCGGTACTCACTGGTTCGACACTTTAACCGCTGACCCAGACTGGCTGGCCAGGGCAGGAATGCTTGTCCCCCACACTGGGCAGGCGGAACCCGCCTCTGACTCGGCTCTGCCAGCTGACACTGGCCGCCTGCAGTCCCAGGCAAACAGCGCGAGGATACGTGGTGTAGGGACTGAGACCTGTCCTCCAGCAAGAGGGCTTAGCCTGCTTTGATGTCCCTCCAGTGAGCCGACTGTTGGCCACGGGCACGTGCTGGTATCTCAGCCAGTGCAGGGGCTGACCGGCCTGCTTGGCTTCCCACTCCTCCTGCCCACTCTCAGGTGAAGGTGCGAGGGGACCAAAGCCAGACAAGAAAGCAGGAATCACTTGCTGGCCCCCAGGTCAGGTGGCCCAGGGACCTGAGTCATGCCCCGTTGGTGTCTGTTCTGTAACAAATCCACACCCAGGGGCTTCAAACAACAGACACCAGGATCCTAAGGGCAGGGCAGCCGCCTCCTGTGGCTCCTGGGAGTCACCGTGCCCAGCTTGCAGACGCTGCCCTCCCTCCACCCAGAACCAGTGAAGGTGCCTTCACCCCTCCCTCTGGCTCGGCCCCTCCTGCTTCCCTCTGTAGGAGACCCTGCCCGGACCGTGCAGGATGGGCTCCCATCTCAGGGCCTCGAGGTGCTGGCTGTTCAGTTCTGGGGGTGGGAACGCGATGTTTGTGGGGGCCTGTCTCTCCCGCCTGTCATTCTGCGCGTAGCGCTCGGGGGCCCACCTGCTGCCACCGCCCTGGCTGGCATGTCCGACAGCACGTGTTCACTGAAGGGAGCTGCAGGGCCTGTGGACGTGGCGGTCAGCCCCTTTCTGCCGGCCTCTCCCTGCCTGTCTGCCCCCAGCCTGCAGAGGGCGGTCTGCTGCGGCCTGCTCCTCGCCGCCACACCCTGCCTGGGCTGAGAAAGTTCTAGTCTCTAGCCCTTCCCAGCTCCAGTGCTGGGTGCTTGGGCCACAGCCTGGACCACCCAGCCCCCCTGGTCATGTCCCCCATGCCCCCCCAACCCGCCCCAACAGCCGCGCCCTCGACGAGAGCCAGCCTGGCTCAGCCCACTGAGGCCCTGACGCAGCCCCACAGGCAGGCCAGCCACAGACGTCAGGTTTTCTCAGGAAATCAGCCTGGATTCCTTTGCAGCACAGATGGGACCAGGCCACGGCACAGGTAAGTGCAGGAGAGCTGCAGGGCCAGCCCAGTGGGTGACCTGGGACTCAACGGAACAGTCGACTCTATGACTCCTGATTACTGGTCATCGTGGCTCCTTGAATTCTGCCTTGGAGCATGGACAGCACAGTCGTCGTGCTGATGCCCAGGCTGACCTGTCCCATCAGCAGCACTGCAGTGAGCAGACAGAACCACACCCCAGGCTGAGCGTGCAAACGCCAGCCACCCTGTCCAGCGTGTGTCCTCTAGGCGATGTGCAAGGACCGGGACAGAGGCCAGGCGGCCTGGGCACATCGTGCCCACACCCACGTGGACACGATGGGCAGCCTGACTGTGGAGCCTGGACATGGGTGGACCCTGCCTGGTTCGGAGTAGCAGGGGCCTGGCTGGCCACATGCAGGCGCTGCCCCGGGCCACTCAGAACTGCCTTGTGACCACTTACAACGCAGGGGTGGAACAGGTCCCACGTCCTTTTGTTCTGCTTGGAACCCAGTGTCCAGGCCTCGGGAGGAAGGGCACTGAGCCCCGCAGCTGGTCTGCACAGATGGGTCCCTGTGCAGCCCGGTGCCTTCTGGGGAGGGACAAGGAATCACTGCTGCAGAGCAGTTGAGGACGGGACAGAATGAAGCCACAGTCCTGGCATTTAAGACCAGGACAGAAAGAACAGCAACGCTAACAGCAGACTCAGATGAGTCAGGAGGTCACACCCCAGGGACACTACCAGCCGGGCCTAGTGAGGCCCACTGAGGCCAGCACACGAAGTACTCGGCTGACACCAGGCAAAGCCCGTCAAGGGGGAGGCCCACAGGCCAGCACAGGACCCTCCCACCTGGAAAGACTAAGGAGACGGAGGCCATCACAACTCAATCCTCACCTGAGGCTATTTTCCATTTATCTTCAGACAGAGTGGGGGCGGGGCGAGACTGATGTGAGAGAGACACATCCATCAGCTGCTTCCCGCGGGACTCCGACCAGGGCTGCGGACCAAACCGCTACTGAGGTAGGTGCCCCTGACTGAAACCGAATCTGAGACTCTGGTCCACAGGCTGACGCTCCAACTGCTGAGGGCAAAGCAGCCAGGCCACAATGCCCTTTCAAATAATTTTTATTCGTGCCTCTGGGAAATTCAGCTTTCAAAGTGATCACCACATCAGTGATCTCGAAATTACCTGGATATGGTTATCATGAAGCTTGAGTAAAAAGTGCAATAAGTTATCCACACCCTCAGGTGAGAGGGCAGAGGAAGGCTGAAGGCCGTACCACCAGGTGGCTGGGCCCTTGGCGAGGGCCCCCTGGACTCTGCTGTGCGTGAAGGTCATCCACCGGGGCTTCCTCGGCTCCGGCTCAGGGCCCGGAGGCAGCAGTCCCTCCGCGTCTACATCCACAGCTTCCCCAGCGTCCTCTTGGCGGCAGCCTGGATGGTGTCCTCAGCCAGCGCGCGGATCTCCTGGTGCACGTCTTCGATGCTTTGGGAAGCGTCGACAATCTTGCCACAGGCATGTCGGGAGAAAAAGAGTATGTTAATACTTTCCACTGGTCTTGGGGAGCATGGGGATTTCATAGTGCTTGGTTCTGGAGGGGCATGGCACAGGCCCTTGGGGTCCCTCACCCCATCTTTCTGACCCTCAGCCCCAGCAGGGCAGGGAGGACTTTGCCTGTGTCCTTGAGACAAAGCTCCCCAAATGCCTGCTGCAGCCCTGATGCAGAAAAAACACCCCATCCTGCTCCTGACCCCCTTCCACCTCCCGAGACCTCGCAGGGCCCTCGTCCACGAGGTGCCCACACGCAGCCCCTTCCCCACCAGGAGCTGCAAGCTCAGATCTGGCTGAGGAGGCAGCGAGGGCAAGGTCTGTCCCAGCCCACACCCCGCACACCCTCGGCCACAACACACACATAAGCGCTGCGCCCTCACACAGAAGGCACGAGGACCTTCGATGTGAAGGGAGCCGCCCACGGAAACTGGTCTCCACCAGGTGGAGACTGAGGCTGAGTCCCTTTCCCACCACCGATCTAGGTCTAGGCCAAGAGCAGCCCATCCGGGAAGCTCCCGGGCGCAGACACACTCAGGAAACCTGACCGTTTCGTGAGGTCTGACCCCACACAAGTGCACCTCACCAGCCACCACTCCAGCTGCAGTGTTTTTCCCTTTATTGGTTTGAGAGAGAGAGGAAGTGAGAGGAGAGAAACATCGATGAGACAGAACATCGATTGGCCGCCTCCTGCATACCCCCCACTGGGGATCGGGCCCACAACCTGGGCATGTGCCCTGACCGGGAATCAAACTGGTGACCTCTTGGTGCAGGGTCAACGCTCAACGAGCTGCCAGAACCTGCCCAGGAGCTGACACTGGATGGTGTAGGGTGTTAGGTACCAGTTTATTCTCAATGGCCCTGAGGAGTTTTTTATACTGCACTTGCAACTTTTCTAGAAGTGTCTTATTGCTTAAAATTTCTGAAAAAGAATGCTTGAAAAGGAAAAGTTCCAGATGAGGAAGGAAGGACTGAAGGCCGAGGGAGGTGGACCGTGGTGCAAACTCGGAAGAGGAGAGGCGGAGTGGGTCAGGAGGAAATACCGGTTCTGTGTTCCCGGTTCACATTCCCAGTCCCCTGCATTCCTGGCCTGTCCCTTGCAGATGCTGAGTCATGTTATAGAGGAGAATCACACTCCCCCAGCACGAGTGAGGGTTGTGGGCGCCATGCTGCCGCCCCTCGTGGGAGGCAGGGCTTGTGCCCCCCAGACAGGCCCTTCGGCTCAGCACCGACCTCAGCACCCAGGAGAGGAGGAAGGAGCCCCCGCAGTGGCAGGCTCTGCTCCGAGGGAAGCAGGCGAGCACACGCCAGGCGAGGGCCCACAGCTTGGCCTGGGCGGCAGGGAGCAGTGGCTGGGCGAGGGGGAGGAGCGGCACTCTCCAGCCTGCCGTGGCACCCGCAGCACCCTGACCCAGGGCCCAGGCCCTCACTGTGCCCGACAGCAGTGGTGGGATCTGCGCTGGCATCACTGGCAGGACAGTGGCTCATGTGCCGGGAAGGAGGACCGAGGCCAGGGCGCCGGTGATGGGCGCAGAGACGAGGGAGAGCACCAGCCGGGAAGATGGCTGAGCGGGCCACGGGGCTCTGCACCCCAGGTCAGGGAGTCCGGAGCTAGTGTGGATATCGGCCCCACAGAGGTGCAGGGATGCCCTAGAGCTGGAACCGCAGGACGAGGGTGGACTGAGGGCCTGACCCCTGAAATGGGCAAGATGTGCCTTCCGCCGCGAGGCCGAGCACAGGCTGCAAGCTAGAGCGCCTCTTCCCGCAGCGTGCGGTGTGCGGGGAGGGCATGCGCTGCGCGTTCCGGACAACCAGGGGAGACTGCTGAAGGGGGCTGCTGCCTGTCAACTGTCCCCAACGTACCCCAAAGACACCCAGCTGCGCGCTGAGAAGCCCTGAGGGGCCGCTCACCTTCCAGTTCAGGGTCACGTCCTCCATGAGCTGGTGGAAGCAGTGCAGCACCCGCTCCTGGAAGGGCCCGTCCTCGTAGCGCTCCAGGCCGAACCCGCCGCGCCCCACCGCCTCGGCCAAGCGCAGCTGCAGGAACAGGACCAGGTCCGGCTTGGGGAGGCCCGCGTCCGGCTGCTTGCACCAGTGCAGGGAGAAGTCCTGCGGCACAGGCAGATGGTCAGAGGAGGAAGCAAACGGGTCCAAAGTGTTGTTTCAAAATCCATAAAAAAGGGGGTAAAAACAAGCTACCGTTTCTTGAGACACCAAAAAGTGAGGATTTGCACCCAGTAGCGGCTTCTGATTTTTTAGATCTCGTGTGATTTACTGTCTCCTGTGCTGCCTACTTCTGGTTTGACTTTCTGAGCACATTCGAAAGTGGAAGAGCCCTGGCTGGTGGGGCTCAGGGGCTGGGCACATGCCTGGCTTGCCGGCTCCACTCCCAGTAGGATGTGCAGGAGGCAGCCAGTCGGTGTTTCTCTCTTTCCCTCTCCCTAAAAACCAATAAACATATTTTTAAAGTGGGCAGAAAGCACCGTGGCCCCTGGTTCCTCACCCACGGCCCTTGTGAAGGTGGTCACGCTGAGGCAGCACCAAACCCTCTGGCCAGGCAGGGACCGAGGCCCACTGGGCACAGGGCCCTTGGGTGCCACCCCTCCAGACAGGCCAGACGACCAGAGCCCCTGGAAGCCGCCGTGCAAGCGCTTCCCCTTCCTCGTGCCGCCAGCTCTCGTCTCCCTTCTGGAGGGGGGCAGGGCCAGAGCCCAGCTGTGTGCTCGGGGCTGCACCTAGCTGAGTGCTGAGCCCTGGCCTGCCCCACAGCCCGCCCTCAGCAGCTCATCAGGAGGACGAGGGACCAGGCCTAAACATGCCGGTCACGTTCCTGTCCTCCCACAGACGAACCGGAGCAGCAGCTGCTTCTCAGGAGACCATCCTTTAGAGGAGGGCTCCAACAAGCCAGGGAGAATCAGCAGAATGTAAAGGTTATCATTTTTCTGCCCCTCACGAATCAGTCACCACTGGGCTGTTATCACAAGGTGACCAGACAGCTGCCCCGGAGGACAGACCATGCTCCCAGAAGCAGCCTTGCAAAAGTGAAATCAAGAATGTTTCGTGCAGGGAAACAGGTGTAGGAGCCCGAGAGGCATTTCAATCATGGGCTTCCCCTGGCCTGTGTTTCCATCCAACAGCTTCTAAGGAACGAAAAACTGAACACTGACTAAATGATGACACAGAATGGCTATTAAATAACTTCTCTGAGCCCTGGCCAGTTTGGCTCAGCGGTTAAGAGCGTCAGCCTGCGGACCAGAAAGTCCCGGGTTCAGTTCCCAGCTCCGACTGGGGTCGTGTGGGTGGCGACCAGTCGATGTGTCTCTCTCACATCAATGTTTCTCTCCCTCCCTCCTGCTCTATCTGAAGATAAATGCAAAAAAAAATAACTTCTCTGAAGTGAGACTATGTTTTTATTTGTATTATTTTAGAGAGAGAAGGAAAGAGAAACACTGACTTATTGTTCCAGTGACTTACGCGTTCGTTGGTTGACTTCTGTAGTGTCCTGACCAGAAATCAAACCCACAACCTTGATGTATCAGGACGGCTAGAGCTGAGATTACATATATATATATTTGAATACACTTTTATTGATTTCTTAGAGAGGGAGGGAGACAGAAACATTGATGTGAGAGAGAAACATCGATTGGCTGCCTCCTACACGCCCCCTATTGGAGATCAAGCCCACAACCCGGCCCTGACTGGGAATCGAACTGGGACCTCTCAGTCCATGGGACAATGCTCAATCCACTGAGCCACACTGGCCAGATTTTTAAAGTTATTTTAGCCCCAGCCAGTGGCTGTTGGTTGGAGCATCATCCCATAGACCGAAAGGTTGCAGGCTTGATTCCAGATCAGGGCACATACCAGGGTAACGGGTTTGATCCCTGGTCGGGGGACATATGGGAGGTAACCAATCAATGTTTCTCGCATTGGTGTTTTTTCTCTCCCCCCACTTACCTCTCTCCCTAAAAATCAATAAATATATCCTCAGGTGAAGATTTAAAAAGGAAAAGGTTCTTTGGGGGATGCACACCGAAACATTTATGAAGCAAACGACATGTCTCGTTGTTCCCAGTGCTGAGTGGTTTGCCATTTTCTCTGCTGGTACATATTTCAAATTTTCTAAAAAAGCAGGAGAAAAGAGGGTAGTACAGCCATTGCCATTCTCCCCAGACAGGAGGCCAGGCAAACGTGAACAGCACTCAGACAGGCCACCATCCAGTCTGGAAACCAGGCCCAGGGTGAGAGCCGAGGTGGCCATCTGGGAAGCTCTGATGTCAAACCAGCTGCAGCTACAGCAACATCTGCCCTCCTTTCGATAAAAACCAGATTCCAGAGAACGGACAAAGGGCCACAGAACCAAAGGTGCGAACCAAAGGTGCGAGGTCACAGCACACGTGCTCCAGCTGCTGCTCCGGACAGCCCCACCTGGGGGCGCCCTGCTGGCCGGGCACACTCACCTCCTTGGCACCGGTGAAGGCGACACCGGAGAAGGCGTATCTGTCCACAACGAGGGTGACGCCCTGGCTCAGCTTCTCCTTTATCAGTGGCCTAGAGAACAGAACACGCTCTGAGCCCTGGGCCTGGCCCTCAGCCCAGAACTGCCTGCCAGCCAGTCACCCTGATGGCACAACTCATCACCGGACGGATTCACGGGCCAGTGGCTTGACCCTAGTTTTTAAGGCTTAAAAACAAAAACAAACTCCCACTCTGCTGGTGTGGCTCAGTGGTTTAGGGTCAACCTATGTACCAGGAGGTCACCAGTTCGATTCCCAATCAGGGCACATGCCCAGGTTGTGGGCCTGACCCCCAGTGGGGGCACGCAGGAGGCTGCCAATGTTCTCTCTCATCGATGTTTCTCTCCCTAAAATCAATAAAGAAAACAAAACAAACCACCTCCGGGTGGTGCCACACAGGCTCTCGGCAAAGCCCACCATGAAAGACGAGCCCTGAGCAGTCAGACGTCACTGACGGACAGCAGAAGGCCTGCAGGCAGAGTGGAGCGGGGACTCGGCCTGGACGGGATGCTGGGAATGTCCTCGCAGGTGGCAGCAGGGTAGGACAATGTAGAGACAAAGATCTGAAGCAAGAAGCATCACTTGCACTTTGGAAAGAAAGGATCTGAAACCGGTAAGCTGGAGCTCAGAGCACAGCAGGGACGGGGAGCCACACACAAGAGCAGGTGCAGAGCCCATCACAGCGTCAGGCGACCACAGACCATGGAAAAGCTGCCTCCTCCGCACACAGGGAGCAAGGTGCACGCGCAGCAGAGACGCTGCGCTGTGTGAAGAGCGAGACCCGGTGACGAGGCTCTGCACCAGGTCCCAGTTCAGTCCCAGTCAAGGACACGTGCAGGTTGCCAGTTTGAGCCCTAGCAGGGGCCTGCAGGACGCAGCTGATCAATGTTTCTTTCTCTTTCCCTAAAATCAATAAAAGCATATTTTTTTTTTTTTTTTATCCTCACCCGAGGACATTTTTCCATTTTTTGTTCAGGTAGAGTAGGAGGGGGAGAGAGAGGAACAGAGAGAGAGAGAGAAACATCGATGTGAAAGGGACACATCGAGTGGCTGCCACCCGCACGACCGACCAGAGCCGGGGACAAACTGCAACCGAGGTACATGCCCTTAGCAGGAACCGAACCCGGGTCTCTCAGGACCGCAGGCCAACGCTCCAACCGCTGAGCCAAACCGGCCAGGGCAAAGCATATTTTTTTGAAAAAGAGACTTCCATAAGGAGATATAACCAGTCTCCTCATGTGTCACTAATAAAGCAGAGCAGAAACACACATGGCGGCAGGTGAACCAGGTAACACACGTGGATCTCCTTGTTTTGTAAACAAATAAGTTAAATAGGGGGACACCATTCCCCACGGGGAAGGGCAGGTGTCGGACAGAGGGGGTATGGGCAGGGCAGTGGCACTTTGTATTTTAACTTTCTGTGACAATTTTTACTTACTGATTTTAGGAGAGGAAGGGGGAGAAGAGAAGCACTGGCTTGTGGTCCCACTCATCTGTGCATTCACTAGCTGACCCCCGCGTGTGCCCTGGCCGGGACTGAACCGCAACCTTGGTGGATCAGGACAACTCTGACCGAGCTGCCCAGGGCCACGCCTGGTTTTAGCTCTTAATACCATTTAATGTTTTATTTATTCAAAAACTAAAATTAAACCAACAAAGGTGAAAACCCTAACACTGTGCACACTTCAAAGAACCTAACCGTATCCCACATGAACACGGCGCAGGGAAAGCCTGCCCCAGACCTGAGCGCAGCACTGTGCCCATGCACTGAGGACAGGGCTGCGCACCACCTGGACCACCCCGCAGGCCTTTCCGGAGGTGTGGACCACAGGCGGGTGATGCTGGGGGCCAGCCCTGTGGTGCTGGGCCGGACAGCAGGTGTTAGCATCAATTCCTGAGTTTTAGTGTAGATATGTACCTCTGTCCCCCCTTATCTGCAGGGGATAAATCCCAAGACCCCCAGTGGATGCCTGAAACCAGATAGTACCAAGCCCTAAATGTACCGTTTTTCCTATACATGTATACTTATGATAAAGTTTAATTTATAAATTAGGCAATTTCATGGACTTGTTCCTACTGTAGATTTACCTCAGCGTGCGATTTTCTTCGTTCCTTGAGCAGAGAACTTTCACCTTTCAGTTAAAGAAACCTTTTCGGCTTCTCTCTGGCACATGCGACTTGCCAGCATCACTACCCTTGAACTTGGGGGCCACCGTTAAGTAAAATGAGAGTGACTTGCACACAAACTCATCTGGCTACTGAGACGGCTACTAAGTGGCTAACAGACAGGCAGCATCTGCAGTGTGGAGACACTGGACGAAGGGATGAGTCACGTTCCGGGAGGGACAAAGGACAGGTCAAGATTTCATCCTGCTACTCAGAACAGTGTGCAATTTAAAGCTTCTGAGTTGTTTATTTCAGGAATTTTTCATTTAATATTTTCAGACCATGGTTGAGTGTGGGTAACAAAAGTAAAAAGTGCCCTGGTTGGTTTGGCTCAGCAGTTACACCACTGGTCTGTGGACCGAAGGGTCTTGGGGTCTGATTTCTGGCCAAGGGCATGTACCTGGGTTGCAGGTTCAATCCCTGGCCCCAGTCTGGGTAGTGTGGGAGGCAACCAACTGACGTGTCTCTCTCACATCGATGTCTGTCTCTCCCTCCCACTATCTCTAAAAAAAAAAAAAAAAAAAATCAGTGGAACTACACAGCTGTAAGAAATCTCTCTTACCCTTTGGGATGACATGGAAGGACCTGGAGAAGATTATGCTAAGCAAAATAAGCCAGTCAGAGAAAGACAAGTATCACATGATCTCCCTTATTTGTGGAACATAACGAGCACAATAAGCTGTTGAACAAAATAGTTCTAGAGACATGGAAGTAGGGAACAGATGGACAAACCTCTGAGGGAAGGGGGTGGGTGGGAAGAGAAAAACCAAAGAACTTACATGCACATATGCACAACCAATAGACCCAGACAATGAGATAAAAGGGGGGGGGTTTGTTAGAGAGGGGAGGGAATCTGTAATACTTTCAACAATAAAGACATAACTAAAAAGTAAAATAAAAATCAATGGAAAGCCCAGCCGGTGTGGCTCAGTGGTTGAGTGTCGACCCTGAACCAAGAGGTCGCCAGTTCGATTCCAGGTCAGGGAACATGCCCAGGTGCCCAGGTTGTGGGCCTGATCCCCAGTGGGGGTCATGCAGGAGGCAGCCAATCGATGTTCTCTCTCATTAATGTTTCTATCGCTCTCCCTCTCCCTTCCTCTCATTCTACAATCAATAAAAGAAAACAAAATTTTTTAATCAATGGAAAAATATCCTCAGGTGAAGATTAACAAAAAAAAAAAAGTTTAAAAACAGTAGAAAATTGCTATGGGAAGTAAAAGAAATCACTTATTTCTAGAAATGAGTTCCTGCCCAGAAATATTTAAAACTGTAGTGGGTCCCGGCCGGTTTGGCTCAGCAGTCAGAGCGTCGGCCTACGGTCCAGAGAGACCTGGGTTCAGTTCCCACTAAGGGCATGTACCTCGGTTGCAGTTTGTCCCCGGCCCTGGTTGGTCATGCAGGTGGCAGCCACTCGATGTGTCCCTTTCACATCGATGTCTCTCTCTCACTTCCTCTCTCCCCCTCCCACTCTATCTGAACAAAAAAATGGAAAAATGTCCTTGGGTGAGGATAAAAAGAGACTGTGGTGGGTAGCACATTTTGTAAAAGGGGAGAGGGATCTGGCAGGCGGTACCTGCACTGAGTGAGACATCTGCAGGGACCACACCAGCAGGTCAGATGAAGCGAAGCAAGGATGAGATGAAACGCCTGGAGGAAGTGTCCTCAAAGTGCTCCACGTGCCAGGAGGAACTGGAAGCAGCCGGGGCTCACCAAGCACTGGCTCCCACCTGCCTGGCAGATTTCATGTGACCCTCACACCAGCCCTACAAGGGCACCGCTGTGCCAGCGACAGAGCTGTGGTTGAGCACTGACAAGACCAAGGTCACAGACGGTAGGCAGTGGTGCACTTGTGAACGGGCACCTGATCTATTGCCCGTCTTCCAGGCCTCAGGAACACTGACCTGACGGCAGAGGCTCAGCTGATCTGCAGGAGCAACTGTGGGTGCTGTGGCAGAACAGAGGGACGACTGACACCAGTCTTCTGTACCGGGGACAAGACCACTGTTCAGGAAGTAGTTACCCTTCTTTCTCATTCTGACTTAGGCCTACATTACTTTCCTACAAAGCCACAAAAACACAGATGCAGGACAATCGTGTCTATGTGTTTCAGATGTGGAGCTGTAAGTATGGTCTGAGGCGGGGCAGCCTTTCCCAGCAAGACAGCAAGCCCAGCAGAGGAGGAGAGCAGGCTTCCTTATGAGAGGAACAATGCAAAACCCCTAACCGTCCATCAGCTTCTGTTACATCCCCCCTGCTAGAGAACGGGCTACAGTGCTGGGCAAGAGTGAGGAAGAGCGGCCATCTCCGAATGGCAGAGGTCAGCAAGGCAGTTAGAAAGCAGTGGAAAAGTGACTTCTACGTTGGGATCCCATTCACAACAGAACAGCTGCAGTGACATGTGACCTACACGTGCAGTGGCAACGAGAGCCTCTCAGCACACACTGTGTTGTTTAGTGAACAGCTGGATGTCGCGAGGACTCGACTGAGATGTGGTAAAACAGAGAGGGGATGGAACAACCTAAACTGGAAACTTCAGTTCATCGAAGATACAATCGAGAAATCTGGTGGAGCTGGAGGAAGGGACAGGAGGGCTATGGGCAATTCAGCACTTTCCGATCAGCTTTTCTGTGTACCGAAAAGCTGTCTGAAGAAAATTAGCCCTGGCTGGTTTGGCTCAGCGGTTAGAGTATCAGCCCATGGACCAGACAGTCCCCAGTTTGGTTCCCACTAAGAGCACTACCTCGGTTGCAGTTCATCCCTGGCCCCGGTTGGGGTTGTGTGGGTGGCAACCAGTCGACGTGTCTCTCTCACATCGATGTTTCTCTCTCTCTTCCTCCCTATCTGAAAATGAATGCAAAAATGTCCTTGGGTGAGGAGTTAAAAAAGAAAAGAATTACAGAAAGGGGGATGGGCAAGAGGAATAAAAAGAATTAATCAGTGATCTCTGGGAGCACACAGCAACTAATCCATGGTCACAGGACCAGTGAATAAAAGAACCTTGGAAAGGTACACCTCTGGCATCACTGTCAACACCACTGAGTAAGGAGCTACACCCACCCCTCTTGATCTCGAGAGGGAGCAAAGCCCTGGGGGAGAAATGGAAGGGCAATGGTTTTACACTTGTTCCCAGCGGTTTGCAGAGAAAAGCAGGTGCACCGAGTGATCCTCCACCTCACTCTTCTTTTCCAAGTAAGAACTCAGGAGTTTGCCGATTTCAGTGGATCTTTCTAAAAAGAGAGAAACACACAAAAGTGAGGCTTCCCACCTAAATTAGAATAGTTTGGGCTGAACTAATGATCCTGGACTCAAGTCTAAGATTTCTCACTACATGTCTAGACAGGTTCAGGCCTTCCCCTGAAGCCACAGGAATTTCTCTGAGAAAATGCAGCAGAAACACAGACACACTGGGGTGAAAAGGCTTCAGGTAAAATGTACATGGGTAGGAAGCAGTTACCTCAAAGGAAGTACTTCTAACATTTGTGGAAGGGCTGACTTAGAGATTAGAATGACGTTCAAAACAGCATTTTCCCCATTTCCTTATGCTTGTTTTGTAAGCCTTAAGCTGTCTCTTGATTATTTGAATATTAACACTTTATAAGTACTTTTCAAGATTCATGTTTTGCTTTAAAAATTAAAAAGTATGCCACAAAATCCCTCACTAGAGGACAAACAGCCCCAGCAAACTTTTGGGAGTGGCAGACACAGTCTTGATCGTGAGGACAGTTTCACGGGCGTATAATTATGTCGAAGCTCGTCAACCACACACTTTCTACGTGTGCACGTTACTGTACACCAATTACAGGTCAAGACAACTGTGCAAAGATGAAAAGCACAGACGCGTCAGAACTGAAAAGACAGGACACAGTGACCCCAGGGATAACAAAGGAGAAAGCCCACGGTGGCCACCAAGGCGACCAAGGTCCAGCAGAGTGCCTTGGCACGGGTGATTAGAGAAGGTCGGCACCGCCCGGTGGTGTGATTCGGTGGCTGAGCGTGGACCCTGCCCCAAGAGGTCGCCAGTTCGGTTCGGGTCAGGACACCTGCCCAGGCCGTGGGCCCGATCCCCGGTGGGGGGCGTGCAGGAGGCCAGTGATGTTCTCTCTCATCGGTGTTTCTCTCCCTCTCCCTTCCTCTCCAGAAATCAATACAGAAAACACCGAGCCCTGGCCGGGTTGGCTCAGCTGGAGCGCCGGCGGGAGCCAGAGTCCCGGTGGGGTTCCCGCTAAGGGCACGAACCTCGGTTGCAGTTCGTCCCCACCCGGGTCGTGTAAGCGGCAGCCAGTCCATGCGTCTCTCGCGGGGACGTTTCTCCCTCCCTCCCGCTCCAGCTGAAGATAAACGCAACAATGTCCTCGGGTGAGCACTTAACAAAGTAAAAACAAACAAATTTAAAAAAATGAAAGGTCAGCACTGGCTCGGTGCGGGCCTTCTCCGGTTCGGAGGGACCCACCCCGCACTCAACCCCAACGCTACCGACTCGCGGAACCGCAGGGGCGAGCACGGCGGACACATCGGCCGCGCACGGCCGCTCCCTCGGGCTCCAGCCGCGGCCGCGCGCCGCACCCACCCGGGAAGCGCAGCAGCTCGGCGCGGTGGCCGGCGGCGCACAGCGCGGCCACCAGCTTGCGGCTCTGCGTGCTCTTCCCGGCGCGGTCCACGCCTTCCAGCACGATGAGCGCCCCGCGCACGCCCGCCATCGCGGCCCCTCTGCAGCCCGCCACGGTCTCGCGCCGCCGCCTGCCGCCGGCAGCTGCCATTGGCCGGCGTCCGCGGCGCGCGCTGGGATTGGCTGTTCTTTCCCGTCGTTGGTCGGATTGGCTAGGACTGACACGGCTGGCGGCGAGGACGCCTTGGGTCGCACCGCCTCTTCCGGCGGAGTCCCCGCCTTCCGGAGCCGCGGTGGGAGGGCCTCCGCCCTGCTTCGCGCGGGAGGAAGGGCGGCGGCGCGGGGGCTGGGGGCCGGCCGGAGAGGGCGAGCGGCTGGGCCCCGTCGGGTTGCGGCGGGAGCCTGGCGCGGGGCGGGCGAGCGGGCCACGTGTTGAAACGGGCCCCGGGCCGCGCCCGCTCCGACTGTCCCGCCGCGCGGAGCGGCTGTCTGCACAGGGTCCCGCGACAGCCCCGTAGAGACCCGCGTGGTCCCCGTGGGCCCGATCGCACGGGCCTGCAAAGCTCCGAGACTTCCATTTGCAAAGACGACCTGTGCAGACTCACAGGAGGAGAGGAACGTGGGGCGACTGTTTCGTCGTGTCCCGCTCTGTGCCATGTGGGCTCGACCAGGAGGGGGCGGCCGGTCCCTGTGGCGGAGGCTGCAAGACGAGCCGGCACCTGAGAGCGCTCGGTCGCGTTTGCCTTCCTGCCCGGGACGTCGGCCGCGGCGGCACTGTCCCCGCACTGTCCCCGCGACGCCGCGCACTTGGGGGCGCCGCCCTTCTCTTAGCGAGCGCCCTGTTCCCGCGCGAGGGCTCCGCCCTTGGACCCCTCTAAACCCAGTCCCCACGAAGGCTGGCCTCGGATGCCATCGCGTTGTGGGGACACTCTCGTGCAGACCCGAGCAAGCCGGGAGCTACGTTTGCCAGAATGTCTGTGTTGCCGTGAGGGGCACTGGTACAAACTGGAGGCCAGGGCTTTGGGGAGGTGGACGCAGCAGAAAAGCGGTAGAGGTGACATTCAGGCTGTTCGCTTGTGCGTGGTGCGCTGTTGAGAACCACCTGCCTCACTGCCACGACCACGAGGTCCGCGGGTCACGGCCTCCGGGGTGGAGAACGGCAGTGACTTGGCGCCAGGCCGAGACCGGCGCCCTTCAGGGTTTGGGCTGAGCCCTTGGCGTCACTACTGACCTTTCCCTCCCGGTTCTCTGGGTGGTTGCGCAAGCCCCTGATCACAGTATGACCCGAGATACCTGCAGCACCTTTACGTTTTCCTGATTGACCTCCCTGATTTGGTTTTGAGGTTTGGAAGGTTGACAGATTACATTGTTTCCAATTATTTGCGTCCTTCCTTGAGGTTGAGCTGGGCCACCTGATTCCAAACACTGCTATCAAGTGCCCACAGCTAACGCAGCACAGGGAAGCTTTGAAAGCAGTTTGGTTCACCCAGCCCCCTCCTGACCCCAATGTGAGCGCTCCACGTGCACAAGGAGGGCTGCATTTTCACGCTGGATTCTGGAATAAGACATACAGCCAGTGCAGCTGATAGCTCCAGCAAGAGATACACCGTTGTAACTCAGGTCGCTGTGACCTGGGCCCTGAGCCTAAGGCGACTAACTCCATTTTTTTATCAATGGACCCTCAATATTTTTCTAATAATAGGTTAATTACCCCTAGAAGTAAAGGAATTTTGCCTAAGATTATGGTTGCCCCTCGTGTTGGGAGGCATTTGCAGGTATTCCGGAGCCCGGTGAATAATGCTAATTTTGACTTCTGTGATCGCTGTCACGCCCACTATTGTACTGGGAGGGAGGGGAGTAAAAAGGAGGATGGGGCTTCTGTTTTTAAAACCGGGTGAGCAAGAAGAATCCAGGCTGCTGATGGGAGGGGAGACTGTGCCCGCCCTCCGCAGCCCGCTGGCAAGAATAAAGCGCTCCTTTACAATTTGGCTGTGCATCTCTGGTTATCTCGCCCACACATTATAACTGAGACCAGTGTTCTTTGTTACTGTAGCACAACCCAATGAAAGGTCAAGACACAAAGACTAGGGCTTGATACCACCTTATGCAGGTAAGCAATATCCTGTTGTCTGAGTGATGTCTTGTTCTAAAATGTCCATCACTTTGCCTTCAGAAGGAGGAAGGGATTAGAGTACAGTACAGAAGAGAACCCTCCCAGTGTTGGACAAGTCCCAGGACAGTCTTGTACCACGTCTGTAGGACCAGCTCACTGAGCAGACAGGAACATTTATGAATCCTGGTCACCCATGAAAATGGAGGAGACCTGGCTGATGGGGCCTTGCATACTGGGTGGGGATAGGGTGCCCTTTTTTATTTTCCTTTATTGATTTTTAGAGAGAGAAGGAAGTGAGGAGAGAGATATAGAAACATCGATGAGAGAGAATATCAACTGGCTGCCTCCTGCTTGCCCCCCACTGGGGATTGGGCCCACAACCTGGGCATGTGTCCTGACCAGGAATTGAACTGGCAACCTCTTGGTGCATGAGTCGACGCTCAACCACTGAGCCACACCGGCCAGACTAGGGTGCCCTTTTGATTGCAGAAATTGCTAAGCCAGCACAAGTAATGTTTGTTATTCAGGTACAACAAGCAACTTGGCTTCCACCTCTTCCAACATGTCATGCCTCTTTTTTTTTTTTTAATCAGGATGCCTTTAACTGCAAGGACCAGAATGTTAGCCTAACTGTGCTATTTCATTATCTCTCATAACACAAAGTCCAGATGAAGCAGACCAGAACTTATGCTGCTCAGTGATGTCAAATGTTGCCAAGTGATGTCGGCACCTTAGTTCTCTGAGCTCTCCCTTCCTGGTCACTGTGGCTGCAGCATCTCCAGGCCTCCAGGCCTGACCTCGTAGCCCGGACGTGGGCACACAAGCCCTTGCACCTGGACAGTCTCCTTTGTGCCCTGCTGCCCTGACTCATCTCAGGCCTGATGTAGCACAGTCTGCCAGGAGCAGTGTGAGCAGGATCTCTTCACGCTACCGTCTGATAGGCAGGTGGGCACCGGGGGGTCCACTTTATGGAGGACATGATGGGGTTCTGTGTTTGAGTGGTTTTGGAGACAGGTGAAACAGAACTAGTCCCAAGTTGATAATTGCTGAAACTGGCTGGTGGGCACCTGGGGTTCATTAGGTTCTCTCTACTTTTGTGTTTCAGATTTTACATTAAAAAAAAAAAAAAAAAGAGTCAAACCCTTGTATTGTTTTCTGGTGTTCTTCTTTTTAATTACTTCTTCAAATACAGCCACATTGGGGAAGGGTTTGGAATTCAACCTATGAATTTTGGGGGGATATTCAGTCCATAGCACTCACCTACTTCCAGCACAGATTGTGCTAAGCGCATCATTGCCTTGCCAGAATCCATTTCCCAGCTTCCATTGCAGTTAGATGTGGCCCGGTGACTAAATTACCACCAGTGAAACGTGAAAAGTGGCGTGTACTCCTTCAAACAGCAGACTGGACACTGTCCCTCTTCCCTGTCCTGCCCTCCTTGCAAGCCAGCCTTGACCATGAGGATAACGATGAGGCTCTTTGGGAGCGGACCCCACTTGGGAAGGAATTGGGTTCCTGTGACCCCAGGGGCATGGTCATCTGATCCTGGATTACATAAGAAATAAAATAGTCTTAAAAAAAAAGAAAAAGAAATAAAATAGTCTTTTCCAAGCCACGGGGTTTGGTTGGGTGTCTCTGTTAGAGTAGTTTAGTCTTTCCCTAAAGCTCTGGTTCTCAACTGGGGGACACCTTCAAGGTCACACTTGGGTGGGTTGGCTCACAGCACCTAGTGGGCCAAGTCCAGGGAGGCTGCTCAACAGCCTGCAAGGCACAGGACAGGCACCGCAGAGTGCCAGGCCTCACACGTCATAGTGCCAAGACCGAGAGACCCTGCTCAAGTGCAGAGCAAAGAGAAGAGTGAGGGAGTCAGCTCTCAATCGCCAGCTTCTAAAACAGGGTCCCTATATGAGAATCCATCCATTTTCTTATGTGAGCGACAGACAAACTGATACCTGGGAAAAGTTATTTTCAATATAAGATATATGAGGGGCATGGTATCTGATTTATTCTCTATAATAATTATTATATTTTTAGATGAAAGTCATGAAAACCAATTTCCCCATGGATAATGGGTAAAGGATATAAAAAAAAATGATAGGCCCAGCTGGTGTGGCTCAGTGGTTGAGCGTTGACCCCTGCACCAAGAGGTCACTGGTTTAATTCCCAGTCAGGGCACATGCCCAGGATGTGGGCCCAATCCCCAGTGAAGGGCATGCAGGAGGCGGCCAGTCGATGTTCTTTCTCATTGATGTTTCTATCTCCCTCTTCTTTCCTCTCTCTCTAAAACCAATAAAGAAAAGATTTTTTTTAAAAAGAAAATGACAGAACAACAAATACGTAAAATATGTTTAGCCTCACTTAAAATCAAAGAAATACAAATGAAACACTGAGGTGGATTTTTGGTTATTTCTTTTTTGATCATGTGAGCAAAGATAAAAAAGCCTGATGAGCCCCGGCTGGTTTTGCTCAGTGGTTGGAGCGTCGGCCTGGGGACCAGAGAGTCCCGGGTTTGGTATCCGCTAGGGGCACGTACCAAAATTAATAAGAATAATAATAATAATAAGAAGAAGAAGCCTGATGAAATCTAGGGTTAACAAAAGTGTGGAAACATATTTAGTAGAGTGTCAGTTCATTTAAAAGTATTGGCACTTAGAACATACAATACTCTTTGAGCCCTGGCTGATGTTGCTCAGTTGGTTGAGCATCAACCGTGCACAGGGTTTCTGGCTCTGTCCCCAGTAGGGGATGTGCAGGAGGCAGCTGATGAATGTTTCTCTCTCTCCCTTCCCCTCTCTTTAAAATCAATAAGAAAATACCTAAAAAAAACCCAAAAAAACACAAAAAAACCAAAGCTCTTTGAGCCAGCAATATAATTTCTAAGCATTATCCTAAAGAACTAATAAGACAATGTGGCAGATTAAAGATGGCCACAACACTTGCTACCCCTACCATTAAGAGGTGGGGTCTAATTTCCCTTC